TTCAGATGGTCATTGCGAACATATTGCTTCATGTCGAACACGTGTGGAGAACAGAACACAAAGCATAGAATGAAGGCGCCAACAGTTTCTGAGTGCTTAAAACTTCAGCAGCCAGCTCTTTCAGCCTGCAAAAGCTCCGCATTGGTCGGATAATGCTGATCCGGCTTTTCTTCATTTGAAGTGGTGAACAACGTTGAAAATGTGGTATGTAGCTCCGGTGGCTGCGAAGCAGGAGGAGACACCACCACCGCCATGGCCCTAAACTTCTCTGAAAAATGTCCAAAGCTGCCAATACCTTTTCACTTTCGATGTTCATGTGATCAAAAGAGATTCCCTTGCTAACCCAATTCTTGCTCTGCCATGAAAGTCACTACACCTGGTGGGTTGAAGCAAACGGCGGGGAGTTTTGCATTCGTGACAAGCGTGAAGACTGGTGGATTCACACTTATTCACAGCAAGTCTTTTGCACCCCCACATCCTGCAAATGGCATCTTCAATCAAAAAAACAAATTGCGACGCGCACACACACCCACACATACACAGGGGTTAAACGAAATTGCGCATCGTCTCACATTGAGGTGCAACTTGGCACGTGCGTCTATTGCGATTGAATCTTCTTCATGGCATGTTCAAAGCCGTTGTTGCCACTTTTGTGTGTTGGCTCAGTACTTAGGAATTGACAGCGTTCAAAGCCTAAGTGTATCTGCTTGCGTTTTCTCCTACAGCCATGTCTGAGTTAGACATACGCAGCAAAAAAAATGTGTTGCGTTCAACTGCAGCGAAGATCAAATGCTTGTGAGGGATCATTCGGTCGTCTTGATTGGACGTCGCCAGGCGCGAGGCAAATCTTGGGTCACTGCCTACGAATCTCCGATACTTACGCGCATATCAAAAAAACAATCACCACCATGTCTCTGACTTAAAACTGCCTTCTAGAAAAATAAAGATTTGTTTGCCAGCCAAGCTTTGAACATCCGTCTGCCATCTGCCAAGAGATTGAACGTTGGTCCCCAAAAGCCAGAGACAAGGATGTAGTAGCAATGTGTCCAACTAACAAGTGCTTGCATGTCCAGTACCTGCAACCAATGTGAGAGCTGTACCTGTTCATCACAAGTGAACTGTTCAACAAATCCGAGTCACATGTGGCAGCATGGCCAAGTCAACAGAATGGCAATAAGCGGATGATGCAGAAATGTATGGATCCAAGTGAAGATCCGATGAAACAGTTCCAAGCTTGGATTGATGAAGGTCCAGATAAAGTGGCAGATTGTCTCACCGAAACGGATACTGTATATACCTGAAACAAAAATTAAAAACAACAACAACCAGAACATGACCAGAACAACAAAAACAACCAAACAAACACAGAGAAACGCCCAGCCACTGTTAGATACTGTTAGTGACTACAGCACCCTTCCAGCACTGAGCACACCAATCTCCGTCAGACCTGCACCTTTTTGAGGGGACTTGTCGCTTGTCACTACTTCATACAAGCTTGCCCTCATGTGGCAGGGGCAGTGATGAGTGTGGAAGCCAAAATGATCGGTGCCCTCCCGACAACATCTACGCAGCCTCGATACATACATTATGACAATCCTGGCACAAACGCAGAGTCATGCACAGCATTGCACAGCCCTTTTCAGCACATGTTTGGAGTTCAAGGACTCTGGTCCAAACTCAGAACCAATTTGAGGCATTGGCACGGGTGGCCAACAGCCAAATCATTCTTCACCCAAGCGCGTACATCACGTTCTACTCGCTCTCAAACTTTTGCAGCCTCGCCTGGCATCCGGCATCCAATGGCCAAAGCATTCGCGATACCCACTGCAACAGGTTCATGTATGTGTGGCCGGGGGGACGGGCAGTTCAACTCTGGCCTGGCACAAGGTGGCACAATGAAATGCAGATATGCAGGGCGTCAGGGCGGCAGGGCGGCACGGCCCGACACAACCAGCACACTGAAAAAGAGCCACCAATGCACTTGTGACATGGGACATGCGGCGCTGGCCTGGCCTCGGAGGTGATCAGCGGAAGCTGATGAGGCCCCCGCGCGCAGCTCAACCGGCTGTCCGCCAAAAACTCAATCGCTTCGTGCGTAGAAGTGAAAACTTTGTGAAAGCTAGCGCTCTTGTCCGCCATGGCATTTGCCAACCCTCCAGTCTTGCGAGTGTTTGACCTGACTCAGGGAAATTGAAGCATGAAATCCATGGGCACCACGGGCACCATGAGCACAATGCTGGCTGGCCAACAAATAATCATCCGATTATTTGAAATGGTCCAAAGGCACAGTTGAAGTGTTTCCAGCTAGTCTTGACCTGTACACTTGCACAGCTCTTCGGGCAAATTCTGGTAAAATCTTGTGCTTCCAGCCCGGTTCGCACGTCACAAGCAGCATCGATTTGATAGACAACAGCCTCCCTTGCGGGTACTTCTCCAAGATCCTTGGATGTCAGGAAATCTGGAAAACAAGGCCAGCACACCTGGACCTTTCGAAGGAAATCCTTGGTATTCTGTTTGATCTCATCTATCGCATCTAACCTCTAACACAGGACAAATTGAATGGCTCCTATAGAGATTCCTCCAGAGTGGTTTGAGCTCCCGACATCATTCATCTGACAAAGGGAAACAAGTCACACGACCTTGTCCCAGTTCAGTTCCCAACAAACTACGAATCTACAACGTGCGCTTCATCTCCCACCATCCCTCGGTCCATCTTACCAACCGCCAAGCATCAGCTCTCTCAAGGCTTCTTGGAGATAGTCCTGATCGTTAAGTCACTCCTCAACCCAATGCTGCGGCCGTTGGGCTTTAATCGGCGATTGGAAGAATCGGAGCGGAACAATCCACAGGACAGGATGAACCTCACCATCTTCCTCCAAGTCCGAAACATGAACGACATATCCCCATCACCACCGCCACCACGTTCCAACACAACCATTAAGGTCGCATGGCCAACAATCTTGCCATCTTCGCAACCACTTCGACTGGCTCCACTCACCAAAGCTGCCGGACCACTTGCACTCACAGTGGATGATGCCGTTCGCATCATCCAACTACGTGCACAGCACTGGGGTTCTCTCACCTCGTGGCCGGGTCGGAATCCAAAGAACAGGAGATGAGAAAGGGGATTGCAGTGTAGTACCAAGCCATAGTTAAGCTTTCAGGATCGGTCCCCCCGAGTTTGGAAAGCAAAATATGCTTCAAAGTAAGCCCAGCTCTTGGTGGCCACTCGTACAGAATGCTTGAAACTGTTTGGGCGCAACAACCGAACAAGTCTCATAGAAAAGGTTTGTTGGATACCTGTGAACCTTGTGCGATCCACCCACTTTCCAGCTATAAGTCACTATAGGTCCTGGCAACTGTGAAAACAAGCAACTGCATTGAGAAAAGTACGTCGCGCTGGCCCTTAGTGTGTCGAGACGCCCGATACAATAGCGCTTTCAAAGAGCGTCTTTTCTGGCTCCTGCAAGTACAGAAAGAAGCGGTCATCACAATCAAGCGTCGTCCTGTGCTTGTTGATGAGATCATCACCACTCGCCCTCAATGTTTGTAGACATTTGCCACAAATGTGTTTGCACATCAGTGAGGATATATAATGTCAACCCTGGATTATTAACCCCCCGGCCCCTAGAAGGTGTCTTATTTGGCGGAGTTGGAGAAGGAGAAAGTCGGGATCTTTTTACTTGGAGTGGATGAATCAGGAGAGATCACTAAGTCTAAATATCTTGATGAGGGGAAACTCCCAAGACTGTGACTATATAAACCTTTTCATGAGGGGGATCTAAGATTCATTTCAAGGATGGAGTTTATGAGATCAAAGTATGCTATGAGCATTGACATCAGGAAGGAACTGCATGAGCATGAGAAGCAAGTGAGAAAGCAAACAAGGAAGGGTGAGGAGGGGAAGGTGCATGCAGCAGGATACTTCAATTGCTAAGAAATGCCCAACTAAAGAAGTTACAGTCTCTACCACATGCGATTCAAATTTGCCGCAGTTTGTTGCAAGCGGCTGTGAAAGGGCAGCTCCAATATTTACCTGCATCTTTGAACAAGCACATCACAAAAAACACTAAGGAGAGCGATATTTGATCAAAGGTTTTCCAGAAGGAAGCTTCTGAAGACGGCACAAAGAACACTTCTGCTCCCATAGCTCCTCGAGCATATGGAACTTCGGGTTTTCTGGTTGCCGGAGCAAGACAGATTCAGTGAGGTCGCGCAGGAGCTTCTTAACATCCTTCTGATCCAAGTCTGGACATGCTTGGCTCAGTCCACATTCTCCATTGCCATGGCTCCGTAATTCTACACATTCTGTGGCCAGACTCTTGACCTCTTAAAGTTCCAAAGGAGTGGGAATAAGAATCTTGGTGGCTCCATTCAACCTTTTCCTAAGGTCGTGTCTTGCGAAGGAACTTGAACTACTAGTTTTTGGTGTGAGAGCCAGTCTGGAAGCACTTGATGTAGTTTTATCATGTTTTATCCTGATGTTCTCTTTTCACATTGTAGTAGGTGCCCAACATCTCCTGATCGGCAAACTGTCTCTGCCTTCAAGGAGGCCATTAGGTTCACCCTGTTTCAGCTACATACTCACAAGTCTTCAGGCAACGTAACTCACGGATGCTTGCGCTTGAGAAATCCAGCCCTCTCTTCCCCTTTTTTGAGAATAGCGAGGCTGTGAAGGTCATGCATGTGCTTGCACACATTTGACACTTCGAGCGGAATTAGAGAAGGCGGAGATTGTAATTCATATCTTGCTCTACAATCCAAAAGGCTATGGATGTTCCCCGTCTTCCTAGTGTACATGACGCCAATCACGACTGTGCTCAGAAAAGAGATTCACCGGGAACGGCTTGCCAAAAAACACACTAAGTCAAGTGAAACCAGCCACCAAGAACAAAACAAGTTTCTGACAAGCGTAAATAAGTGATGAGTGATCCACAAGTTGATCGGTTTGCGAAGTATTCCCGGCGGGTTTCTCAGTTTGCATTAGCATAGCGACTGCCTCACTGGGCGCCGCTGGATGATGCGCTTTCACCGTCACCTGAGCTTTGGGGTGGTTGAGGACCGAATTCACTCACGATTTGGCCATGGCAAGGATTCATTCCTGAATGATACAAGGCCGGCGCTGAAAAGCTGCTGGTAGCGCGACATATTCTTTTTAACCTCATCCCAGTGCTCTTTGAACACCTCAGGTCTCCACATGGAACTGGCTCAACTCAGATTGAACGTGCTTTTAGGTGGGTCTGTGTGTGTGTGCTAGCCGTGAGTCAAATAGACTGACAAAAGCAAGTTGGGAGTTGTTGGGAGTAGCTTGCTGGAATCAATTAGCCAAGCCCCCTCTTGCGCAAGGATGTCTCCGAGCCTTTGTGAACTCGGAGAGGTTGGAAAGGAGTGCCTCCAGGTCTACTGGCACCTGTGCTCAAATGGGTCCAAAGCAATCGCCACTTAAACATCTGAGCCCCTGCGAACTGCTCACACTCTTACAACATTCTCGAGGGCAAACCTCATTGGAGGACTTTGGCAGTAGGACCCCGCAGAAGCGCAAAGTCGCATGGACCTGAGGCAAAGAAAGTCTCTGACATATGCAAACTGAAAAGAAAATGGGTATGGGTCGTTTGTGAACTGAAAGCAAGATACCACTCTTACTTGCATCGTTCCATCACATGCTGAAGATAACAAGGTGCCTGTTCTGCCGTGGACTCCATGTCAGCTTTCAACAGGCTGCAAAGCTTCTCAATGATACACCTCCCAATTCCATGTGAGCCGCGATCTAAACCTCTTACGGTAAAGGACATTAAAAGGGTGGTATTGCCTTTGTGTTGCCGACCCTATCGTTTTTGAAGCATGCGCTGATTTTTGGAATCAGCACTCTCGACATGAGGCCTATAGCCAGGCACCCACAATGGCCGCGTCTTCTTTTACTGACTTTCAGAGTCCCACATTTAACACAAAGAATTCTGTGGCGTTCTTTTCCTTGCTACTGAGGCCCATGTGGAACACATGTGAACCTCTGGCCTCGTGGGCCTAAAAATGCTCAAATATTGATCGGAATGGTATCGTTTGGGGTATCGTTTGCCATGCTGAAAATTCCACTAAAGCCCTGCCGTTTGAGGCAACAAAAACAGGAAGGCAACATCTAAGAGAGCGCAAAGGATGCATCTTTCTCAAAGGATACATCAGATTGTATCCCAATTGTGTCTTTATCAAAGAAAATATCAAAATAATATAACAGAACTAATCATGTATATATAATAATGCAATCAAAGTGGGGTTTCTTCGTTTTCTTCCAGCCCTATCATTCTTAGGGTTATCCTTTAGACTAGCATGTTTTGTCCAGCAGCCTTCAAACTACATAAGGACGGGTTTTGATAGGGGCTAATGTGTAGGAGAGGCAAGAACTATCGCGCATGCGCCTCATGCACCGAAGCCGGCGTTGAGCACTGCCGCGAATCTTCATGACGTCCTGTCAGCATCTCTCAGAAACATATATATAACTATATTGGACCGTTTTCTTCGTTGTTTCTATATAATAGCAATGGCCTCCAACCTACTAGCGATGGTCTCCAACCTACTAGCAAAGCGATTCCTGGCAAAGTGTCTGCCTCATTAAGGAAAAACAACCAAATCGGTGCTATTCGTGAGTGTGATGTTCAAACCCCCTCCAGATCCCTACATGAGTGATCGCCCAAAACGGATCATAAAACTTGATAAACTTTATATGTTGGTATCGCTTTTGGGGGGTCGCTATATCGCTTTACAGTGTCGGATGCCTTTGTCATCTTTCTTGAGGATTCTCTTGAAAACATAGCCAAAGTGAAGTGCACAAAAAGAAAACGAGAGAGAAAGAGAGAGAAAGAGAGAGAAGGAGAGAAAGAAAGAAAGAAAGAAAGAACTTTCCATTGACACAATAGCATTTCCTTCCCCCTTCATTGCGGTTCTTGTTCTAGAGCTCTTCATCTGTGTCAGTCTCCACGGGTACTGTGAAAATGAAACGAAATCATACGAAAGGGGATCCGCTCATCTAGGCCACATTTTGATCATCCAGGGGTATCGCTTTGGCAAGGCTTCATGTAAAGTGAAAACACATCAAATGATTGAAGAAAATGATTAACTTTATTGAAGTGCACATTGTGAAGGTATCGCTTTTGGGGGTTCACTGTATCGCTTTACAGGTTTTTGGATGATTTCAATGGAATAGTTCATCTCAAATCAAGATTTGTGCACAGACCCTTTAGGTCGTTGCTCATACAGTTCCACGCTTTTAGCTTGTCAACTTGGCACGAAACAACCTGCTTCCGGGGCACTGCCTGAGATTCTGTGAGCTGCGCGAAGTGACAACACCTCTGAAACTGTCACCGATCAAAATTACCGCTATTGCGCAGAAGGTTAGGATGATTTGCGTGTGCGCTGCCATTCACGGCATTCTTGGGTGCCAGGGTGAGGAAATGTTGGTCCTGTATCTGCCACAACGAGGCGTCCACATCGGACAGAGTTTTGTTTCACTTGCGACAGGGAAACACAAAAAGTAGACACTTACCAGAAATATATGAAAAGTGTGCCATGTGCGCGGCGGAGGATAAACTGCACTGTGCAAACGCGGTCGTATGTCACATACGCGCTCCGCATAAGAGTGGTCCGGGTCGCGAGGGGGGGTTACGGCATGTGGTGTGGTGAGTTTTGTCAACCCGGCTCTGCATAGAGACTCTGTTGCGTCAACGCTCGTTTGTGTAGAGCAATATGGTGTGTGAACGCTGGCTTGCGTAAAAGTTGCGGTGTGTGAATTCTGACGTGTGCCAAAGCTTCGGTCCCAGACCGGCACTCGCTTTGTAAAGACCGCAGGTGTGCGTGCATTGCGAAAAGCAGTGTTGCGCAACCGCATTGCGTAAGAGTTGTGGTCCCAAAGCACGCAGTGCGAAGATGTGCGCGAATTGCGCAGAAGCCGTATTGCGCAACGTCATTGTAGGGGTATTGCTGTGGCTGCCAGTCAGTTGGCAACATGCTGTGGATGGTGGGCGACGCTAGTGGTGCTGGCGAGGGGGCGAAGTGCATTTGCAGTGGAGTTCCCGTGGAAAGACATTGTCTCATGAGCGGTCCAGCGAACAACCGCAAACGGAAGTTCTGTCAAGTGCTATGGCGTACGCAAGCAAGCGGTTGTTTTACCAGCCTTGGCCAAATACGTCAGTCCGACATAAGAGGAGAGACCAGACAGGGGCTAGTAGTAAGCAAAAGCAAACACAAAACAAACACAATTTTCTTGACCCCTGTGCACGAAACTGTCATTGAAACGACTAAGGTCGTTATTATGTAAATACATACATATGTATATATATATACTTTTCAGAAGAGTATTTTTTTGACAGTCAATGTCAGCCGCACAACGGAAAGCTCGGTCAACTAAGTACAGGTCATACTATGTACGTGAAAACTTGAAAGGTCTTAGCAAAGGTCGGTTCATGTGAGCAAGCGCTGAAAAGTCCATACTGCTGGAAGCAAAGGCCTGCATGTGGTCAGTCGTAACCTGGGGTGGGCTGCAGAAGGCGTCGGCGGCAAAACGAGCGCATCAGGATTGACAACAGACGCGGACGTAGGGCGAGGTGGCTTATCGGGAATGAGCTCTGGCAAAGAAACAAGATTCCTCAGGGGGTTCGATAGGAAAACCGGTATGGCTCCCAAGTGTTGGTACCTGTGGCGCTGGTGGTGAATTGGTCTGGTTTCAAAGGCTTCCGACGGCGCAGGCAAAAGTGCGTACACCGGGCGCGCTTGCGTAAGACAGCGACACGGCGAATAATACAAAGGTCCGTCCGGAAGGATGAAAATCACTGAGGCTGTGGTGACACGCGGACGCTGTCAGGACATAAACGCGATGCGGTGTTTTCTTGCGCCACACAAAAGAATGGAAAGATCTGGCGGCGACGCCAAACTCGTATTTGCGCCAAATCAAAACACTGTTCAAAAGAGAAATGCGGCAGAAACTTCCTACGCAGGAAGGAACATCATTCTTCAGAGATATCCTTTGTTGACCGTCATAGTTCTGCGAATGCATGTCCAGTTCACAGGTGCTGGAAACCTGGGATATAGCCTTGGACATACGCGAAAAGAACTTTTTCGAAGGATCGTACTGGTGGTCTTGGCAGTTAACTCTTTCGCGCGAATGATCTTATCGGTACGCAGGAAGTCATGTTCATCAGCGAACTGGAAGACAGAAGACAAGTGTGTGTTGACACTCAGGATCTGTGAAATCATCTAGGGGGTCCATATACAGACATGCGCAGCTGTCCGTTGGACGGACATTAAAGAACCTGCTGAAACAATTGGCAAGCGCTTGGCAAAGTCTATAGGGATAGACCTGCGCTAAATGAGTTCTACTTCCATGTCCTTTGGCTGATCCTTCAAGATGTTCATGTTCACGTTTGTGTTTACAATACCTGTTGGAACATCGACGGCAGGCTGGATCAACAACTCCAGGCGGAAAATTACGAAGCAACGACATTGGCTTAAGATCTCTTGCGCCAAAACAACACACGTCAAGACTGCCAAAAGTGACACCTTGTTCCGTCGGAAGTTCAAAAATGGACTTTGTAACTTGGCATACCAGAGCTTAGAGGTGAAAGGATTCTCCACGCCAAAGTATCTGTTTTGTCGATGTATGTTGGCGCTTAGCGACTTCGGTACAAAAATCAACCGTTGGCAACATCTTGCGACATTTCTGTTGGACGGACTCCCCATCATGGAGGTATTGCATATGGGGCAAAGGGCCACAGACAGGCTTCAACGTGACAACATCTGGCTGCTGCTCACAACGATCCGGTTAGTCGCTGATCGTCCCTTGGACATGAAAATGTCAAAACCATTCCTAATATCAATTGGTGTTCCTACCTTCATACCAGACAAGGCACAGCACTGACTTAACCTGGCAGAACCGGCAAAGATCTCAAAGAACATGGACCTACCTCCAACCTCATACTTCCAGCGTGCGTCTGCAAAGGAAGTCGCATCAGAACTAAAGAATTCTTCTGGAACTATTTGTGCACTCTTGCCTCGTACAGGTACGGGGGAAGACGATCATGTTTTTTCACCTATTTCTTAAACATGCGATTGGCTGTCTCAGCACGATTCGGCCAGGTGTCATTGGACCAAGACTGATTGGACGAATGTTCAGAATTGGGTAGCTTCTTTCCCATTCATAAACGCTTGATTGGCAACGACGTACTTCGGCTGCAGCTGATACTGATCTACATACTCATGAAAAGCCTTGATGGATTCAGGCTTGTTCTTATTAGTCGCAGGAATCGCGGTTAAAAAGCGTAGTTGCTCAATTCAAGATAGTCAGGATAATGATTCGTTTTCTTGACAGGGTTGAGACCTCACAGCGGTCCATGAAAGTCATCTGTCCAAAAAGTTAACTTCAGACCTTAAACCATCAGTCTGACTGTTCAAAGCTCATATGATGATGTTTCATTTGCGGCTTAAGAAGTTCTTTCTTACTGTACAAACGTTTGTGTATTCTGGCCATTGCAATGGGCAAGGTTGGCGGAGGGTCGATGAATGGATCATCGTCTTTAGGCTCTTTCGTGTCCCTAGTATCAGCGGAAATGATAACAGGCAAGCCACAAGATGGTTTATCAACAGGCTCCTTGTTTGAAGACGAGGACGAAGACGGAACAGGTTCATCCAAGATTGGTGTTCTGATCTTCGGCGATTCATCCGTGACAATTTGTGTTTTACCTGTCCATGGCTTCTCCATCGGAGCTACATTCTCGCCAGTGTCCATCGCTCTTCAATAATGTCAGGTTCTCCCGTCTCTGGCTGAAACTCGCTCTTGCATTCAGGGACAAATGGTCTAGCGGAACCTCCTGAGATACGGTATCAAGGTCATCGTCGACCCCTTAGGCGTCTACCCGGGACCTTACGGATGGCAAAAGATTCATGCTCATCAAAGGCCCAAAAGGCTTCGTCATCTCAAGGTACAAAGCCTTCCTCTTCGTTTTCATTGCCCTCGACCCAGAAACCTTCTTCTCCCTGGTCCACAATCCAGAACGGGACCATCTGTTCTATGGTGTCTATCGTACAAGTGAGTCAGGATTCCCTTACTTTGGGTCACTTTAGTCAAACGTTCACGCTGGCCTGCCGAAAGCTCAGACTGGATGATAAAGAACAGAGCAATGAAGTTGTTGGCAAACGCAAAAAGAATCCTACGTCTGTCTTGACAGATCTTAAGCCACTTATCGAAAATATCTTGACTTTCCGGCGCTCTATCAGCCCAGTAAGAATCGGCAGGGCGTTCAGGGCCACTCCGGCGGCCGTAACCTCAGCTTGCCAAAGTGCATAAACGGCACACGCTCGATCATTGCCTACACTGCACGACTGTAATCGGCAAGATTGTCGTTCTGGCGCTGGCAAGGTGTCCATCCAAGGGTCTCGAACTTCGAAGTGAGTGTCACGAACTCTTGGTTGCCCCAAGGTTGAAGAAATTCAGGGCTCTGTAGTGGAAAACGTTCTGTGCTCCCTTTACGAAGTAGGTAATGTTGCCAGGAAGTAATTGATGCCGTTGTCAGGGTCCCTCAGACGATCATTGTCAAGAAGCTCTCGGTAGATCGGGGCATTAGACGTGTCTTCAACCGTGGTCCACAATAATTTTCGGCCTTATCAATGCTGGCAATGGCTAACCAATCATCTACAGCCTCTTCGTAACGAAGCCAGCTGACACGACCATCGAACATCGGAGGCTCATTGACTCCTTATGAGACGCAGGAACTGCAAACGAAGGCATCGCTGCCATTGCTGATTGGTCGGCACCTGGCCATGGCACTTCCGTAGCATCATCGACTGACGTGGACATCACGAGCAGGCTCCGCTACCACTAAATGACACACAGTGCAATTGCAGTGGGGCACCCGTGGAAAGACACTGTCTCGAGACCGGTCCACCGGACAAGTGCAACGGAAGCTCTGTCAAGTGACGTGCTATCAAGCAAGCGGTTGTTTTACCAGCCTTGAGCCAAATACGTCAGTCAGACATAAGAGGAGAGACCAGACAGGGGCTAGTAGTAAGCAAAGCAAACACTGGCGGGGGTCATCAAATGATTGATTAATCACACGAAGGGGGGGGTCATAGAACTGGTATATCAATCTTTGGTCCCGAGCAGGCTGTTGAAGCTACCCCTTTGCTTCGCAAAGCCACCTCAAGGTAGCCCTTACCAGGCTCCCTTTCGTTAGAAAAAGGACATACAGTAAGTAAGTTCAATAAGAATATCAAGAGAACGTGTAAAGAGCTTGTGCAGGGTTCGTAGTTGCAGCACAAAGGGTGGAAAGAAGCAAACTGAAGGCTCAGGCACATATATATATATATATAGAGAGAGAGATGGAGGGTAAGGATACGCTTGGCAATTCCAAGATGGTGTCCTCAACCCATCGGGTAGCATCTTCGTCTTCCTTCTGCCGTCTCCTAGGGCTTTCCAGCATGTCGCAGGCCGCGGCGGCAGCCGCTGCTTGGACCTGCCAGGTTTGCGCTCAAAAGGCTCAGAGGAGGGTAGAAGGCCATCAGTAATATCAGTATCGTGTTCAAATCTCAAAGCCACCTCTGCCAGCTCCTGTCCGAATTCCTGTCAGAACCATCAACATAGCTGCTTGACAAGCTTTTTAGTTAGATCCCAGTCCTTTGCATCATCATCAAGCGCGGGCCTTAAATGCAGCCCTAAACCACTTCTGTCACGGCAATAGTGAGAAAAGCATGTTGCCACAGGTCAGAAAAGGTCATCAGTCCGGATTTGAATCTTCTCTTTCAACTATGTCAAGGGCTCAACTGCATCATCACCGCCTCCTTCATACTCTTCTAGATAGTTCCGGCCTAGTGAATGGTAGACTGCGACCGGCTCTCCAAAGCTGGACTACTTCCAAGCCATTTCTGACCTTCGTGTAATGCAACTGCACACTGGGTACCCTGCACTCTGATTTGATGCTGTCGAGATCACGTTCGAAGGCCTTCATCCCTGCTGACAGTCCCTGAACCTGCAAGCTTTCCATGCTGCCATTACGTCATGATCCTGGTTTCCATGTCAAAGGAATTGAGTCTAGCAATTTATTGGCTTTCAGATGCTTTCAGCATTGGCCATCAAAAGCTGCCTGCATCTTTGCTATTCTTTCTGCTGGCTGTAGCCTCAGACAAAGCAGGAGTCTTATCAAATGCCAAACAAGCTCACTTGAAAGCATCATCTACTCAAAAAGGCGTTGTCCTTTGAGGCACCAGCTCGCGCTGAAGGACTTGGGCAGCATCGGGTTGCCCCGACCGCATCAAAGATGCACAAAGAAAGTGCAAGGTCGAAATGCCCTCTCCGCACTTAAAGTCTCGTAGGGCCAAAAGGGAGCCAATGGCAATCGCCTTAGCTCCCTTTGTCGAATCCCCGTGGTTGATGAAGTTGCCGAGCTGGAGCGCAAGCAACATGACATTACGCAACATACCAGACTTCTGGATTGCCAAACAGGCAGCCCGAATTCTGGCTAAGCTTCTCATGGTCGACTTGAATTGCAGGCGTACATTGCGCGCAATACAAAGCACTCTGACTCTTGCTGAGGCTCGGTTCAACAGGGTCAAAGGCATGACCATCTGCTCAACATCTCGAAGCTTTTGGCATGCCTCCGGTGAGCTATGCTCTCGAAGCTTCTTGGCTTCATCCTGCGTTGGAATCGCTTCTAGAATCTGCTCCAAGTCATCACTGCTTATGCGATCGTCCTCCCATTGCAAACTGCTGAGGACACGCACCAGTTCAGTTGTGCTGGTTGGCATTCGCTTTAAAACGATTGCAATATTGCGAGCTCGATGGTCGCTCAGAACTTTTGTTCCGATGTTGCGCATCTGAGCCTTGCTCAAAACGCCAGAAGAGCGACGCTGAAGTTGAGAACCTTTGGTCTTCTCAGCTTCAAGAATTTTGGAGAGCGCATTGAAATCTATCGCACTGCATGTGTTTGCCCTGCGTCTACTCTCCTCACTGAAGATGGTCCCTTCAGCATCTGCAATGTCAACTTGCTTCCAGTACAATTTCTTGTGAAATGGTGCCTTGCTTTCAGCCTTGGCCGGTCCTTGGCCTTGGCCGGGCCCCAGGCCCTTTGGAGGACCGCCTTTGGGAGGAGGGCCTGGTCCTCCTCCCTTTGTTGGAGGACCACCTTTGGGACCGCCCTTTCCGGTTCCCTTTGGCCCACCTTTGGGAACACCTTTGGGACCGCCTTTCGCCTTGCCTTTCCCCTTTCCAGCCACCTGCGGAGTCTGCAGAGCTGATGGATCTTGCAATTTAGCCTCTTCTTTGGGCTCCGGATTCGCCTCATCTTTTGGTCTGGACGGCGAGGCCTTCGGGCTCGAAGAAGGTAAAGGAGGACCTTTACCTTTTCCCTTTGGAGGGCCCTTGGATGGTTTTGTTTCACTCTTCAATGGGCTTAGGTCTCTTTTGCTTGGCAGGCTCTCAGACTCCCTTAAGTCCTTCTCTGCTTTCAAAGAGGCAATGCTTGGCATTGAGCAAATATCATCCTCCTCAATTGAGCCTTCATTGTTCTCCTTTTCCTGCTTCATCTTTTCTTCCATATCGCAATCAGGCTTGATCTTTGATGTCAACCCTTCACACCAGAGCAACTCAGCATTGTCTTCAATCCTGTCCTCTTGCTCCGGTTCAATCTGCAGGGATGAAACAGTGTGCTCAATCCTGCGAACATCCTCCCTCAGCTCAGCGACTTCTCGCTCAAGGCGTACCGTGCGCTCTGGCATAGCGAGGGCCTCAGCGTCGGGCTCACACTCGTCTGGCACCAGTCGTTCACCCTCGGAAGCTTGTCTGGGCCGCCTCTCCACTCCAAGCTGAAGTTGAAGTGCCGCTGTAGCGGAAGCCAATCTTGATGTGGCTGATGCCAATTCTGCCGGTTGCTCTTGGCTCAGAGCTCCGAGAGTTCCGAGAGCCCCGTGTTTTGGCAACTCTGAATTCTTTGTTTCAGCCGCCAATGGGACTTGTGTTCTGAACTCTGTGACGTTCTGAGCCATGTTTCCTTCTGGCAGCTGTGGACTTGGCGCTGCCTCCATGGTTGCTTGTGGTGGAGCCACAGAAGCCCCACTGCGAAATGCCGTGGAGGAAGTTCTTGGCAACACACCTGTTGCAGCCTGCCTGGCAAGACTTAGATGTAACCACTTGGCTGACCAGCACATGACCGAATCTGAAACCCCTGTCCTTTGCAGTACATGGCGCGCACGATCAAGAACTGCCTATGCAAAGATGCAGACACTGCATGCAATTCCAGATAATTTGGGTCAAGTGAAATCGATTTAATACTAGTACTATTCACATCCATGAAGTCCGTTGTACCCTTCTACACCTGAACAATTTAACCTTGGACGTCGATCTACGGCAGATACATGTCTTAGAAGATGAAAGACTCCTTCTGTCCACTCCTGTCAAACAGGCAACATGGGAATGCAAGCACGAGTCACAGTGCGACGATCATTGTGGAGTCGCTTTAGGGTTCACTGAAAACTGTCCAGTAATGAGTGGTGGCAAGTGACAAAACAGGAAAAAATACTCTTGCCTGCGCTGTGGCAGAAACTCTTGAAGGGGAGTGCTGCCTTAGCAAAGCAAAGCGCCTTCATCTCAATTGTCCATGTCAAACTCTTCAATAGACAGATTAGTTGCCTCTGAAGCATCCCTCCATCTGGAGCAAGACACCTGAGTCAGACGGAAAAGTATGTCTCCAAATGGTCCACAACCAGAATCACCAAATAAAAGAATAACGTAACATAATGCATTCAACTGAGGAGTGCACACAACTGGGGCTCTGGAACGTGTGAACATTTGATTGTCTATTGTAGCCTCCAACATCCAACACACACCAGGGAAAGAAATGAACAATGTGAAAGTTGAACACATAGACATACAGTGACATACATAGACATACTACTACACTACTGACCTACTCTCCTGGTACCTATCGTACTACTTGTGCCCAAACGTGCGCGAAACAAGCTATGTGTCGCGTGAACGCACCTGCAATCCGCTGGCAATGCTGACGGAGTGTGTGTCATGACCTGCAAGGTGATCGTGAGAAGAAAGACGAGCCAGAACTGAAACTCGCTAAGCCGGTCCAAGGACACAGTTCTGTCCAGCCTGCACCTCTTGCACCAGGTGCTGCTGGGGCAGGTGTCGCATCAGACCTTGAAAAGCCACACGAAAAGCTCAACAAAGCTTCGCGGCATGCTTTTGACTGCTTTTATCTTGGCATGGTGCGGTTTTCCCAAAGCCCGGCGGGCACGGTCTAGGACAGCCTGCAAAGTGTCCACAAGCTTCACAAAAACGACGCAAATGCAGAATCTTTGGCCTGAGCCCGTGGAACCGCGTTAGCTGCCGCTGCCGCCTCCAGCAAAGGAGAGAGAAGGAAAGACTTGAGAAAGAACCCCAAGCGACTGGCGATCTGGTACCTTTCTGTTCTCTGGCACCACAGCCCTTTCCATCGTCATCTGCGTTGCCACCATCGTCTGGGAAGCGGGCAGGCCTCCAGGACAATCGAAAACAAACACAAGAAACAGGGACATCTCCTGAACAACCGCAAAATGACCTGATAGCGCCTTGCCTTCAGGCAGCACAAACCGTGCAGTTGCTGGCAGCTTAGCCGCCTAAAAAAGATGCTACAGCCAACTAACCTTGCTTTTCAAACCTGGCTTTTCCACAGAAGCAAAGAGTCTAGTCTCTAGTCTAGAAGCTTCACTGTCCCAGAGTATCCTTGTCTAAAAGACTGAAAGCAAGGCCAAGGTAAGAACCAGCGCTTGCAGTTCCGCTCCAGGAATATTGTTCTTGCCTTAAAGATTTCGCTGACTGCACTGACAAAGAAGCAGCCTTCGACCGTCACTTTGCAGCCACAGCTTGGTCCGCTGCTCAAATCAAGACCCTTGGCAAGCGAGGCAAAATTGCAGCACATGAGCAGACAACCACCCAAAAACGCTGTATCTCGCCTTGAGTGCTGGGAGGCAATCTGTCAATGATCTACAACCTGTGAAAAAGTCGCACATATAAACTATGTCAGTAGTTGTGCAAAAACTCTGCCCGTGCCATTCAAACTGAGATCAGGACCCTCCGCTCCGCATCCTACATCACTCAGATGCAAAACCTCAGTCTCGTGCGACTCATGTGGGACTCGTTTGGCGTTTCTCCGATCCTCTGCATGTGATTGCTGAGACTGGTGCTGCATTGCAGTTTCTCCTCTGGACGGCCCTTGCCACCAAGGTCACACCAACGTCGCCCAGCCTCAAACATCAGAGCACCGCGGACCAACGATCGAGGTGAGCAAACCGGATTCTCGCACTCTGGGAAATCGGCGGATTTGCAGATAAAGCCAAATCATACCTGAACTGTCAGCTTTACTGAGTGTGTTTCGCATGCAGCCCTGCATGCGTCATCATTGTGCTTACGGCAGTGTTCATGCTTTCAGGCAGCAACTTCTCTGCCACAGGCCCTCCGTTCTTCCTTTTGCCAAGTGGCTCCACAAGACTGGAGTCCAGTGGAAAAAACTTTAAGGCGAGCTCCTGAATCACAAATCGCCAGGTGTTCCTGTTGATCTGTTCCCTTGTGTCTAACGACACATGTTGTTTGTAGTTTTTGGTGCCAAAATAGATCCGGTCCTCAGCTCCTCCTGGACCAATTTGGTTCTGGGACAAGTGCAAGGACCTCCGACGTCGATCCGGGTCCACCGTCGACGGTGACTCCATCCGGGTCCCACAGGTCCGACCTTAAGACGTGACCACCGAAGTGTTCACGTATCCATGCCAAGCACTCTGCCAAGGCAGCCTTGGTCGCCAAAAAGGGTGTCCTGTGGCCGAAGAGAATCTCACACAGGGCTGGAATCTTGTATTGAAATACGTTCTTTGAACCCTAAAGTGTTGTGGTTGCAAGAGCAAGTCATCTCCATGATAAGCTCTCTGAACTCCCGGCTGCAGCAGTGTCAGTCAGACAGTTGCCTGACAAATCCTTGTGGGCACAGGTTTCGCGCAGCAGAACATGAAATGTTCAACCTCAGCCATCCCAAGGGATTGAGCGTCAGACAATGTGCTGGATTCGGATTCCTCCACGGCTGTAGCAATCTTCACATGCACTGACTCTCAGTTTGGGATCCATGAAACATGCAACTGTGCCAGCCTGTATGCAAGCCATCAAGCGGTGGTCTTCTGGCAAACCTGTCTCGAGCTAGAAGTTCAATCAGGTTGAGCTTTCGGTCGAAGGGCAAATTGCACTGCTCACATTTTTGACATTTTTTGGCTGAACAAGAGTTCCTTGCAACTCAAGGCGAGCACTCCACAGAAGCAGACAGCAAAGATGCCACAAACCTCTCACCAGTTCCAAGTCTAACGACATGATGAACGGGAGATTGGCAAAACTTGTTTGCACCACCACATGCACATGCAGCATCTGTCCTGCTGAAAGCCTGGTCCCCGAGCTGCCGCCCAGTTGCCAACACCTTTGTCAAGTCAAGTCATGCAAAACAATCACCTGTTTGAGAGCTGTCAGGATCTTGGGCAACTGGCACAGATTTGAATGCTTCTCAGGGACAACAAACACAAAACGACAGTTGGCCTCCTCAGACTGCACCAGGACACCCTCCAGCCGCGCATTAACGAGCCACTCTTCCAACTGCGCAACGAACTTGCATGTAACTAATGTGTGAACACATGTGAGCACCAACTCAACATTTGTGAGTTTGTGTGCTTGCGTGTGTGTGTGTGTGCCCCTTGTAGTCACAGGGATTCCGTTGAATTGTTTCTATTTACTTCAGCAGGGGGCTCTCGGAGCCTGCGTGAGACGAAAGCCAACGAAGACTTTCATGCAGTGCTTGTGTAAACGTACCTGCTTGGTGCACCTGGGCGCATTATAAGTCGCGGCTGGTGGCCACCCTTCTTCCTCTTCCTTTTCTTTGTAAAGGGCTAGTGAGCTCCGCAGATGTGCACGGACCGCCGTCATCTTGTTCGACCCGTGATCGCCGATTGGTTTCTTCCGCTTGGGCCATTTCTCCGTTTGAGGACCCCAAGGCTCCAGTGGTTTCCTACTTGTACTCTTAGGAAATGGTACCCTAGGCCGGCGTGTGGCACCGCTGTCATGTCAGTATGCATATCCATAAGTGTGTCTCTCCCAGTGAGAGTCCGGGATGAGCCCGTAGAGTGCCTCCCGTGGACCCGTCGAACGGGTGTCTGTCGTTATCTCTGCTGGCTGGAGATGTACGTGTCCGGAGCGGACGGCAGATGGCTCATGCCACAAGAACTTAGATGTTTGTCTCATCTTTGGAGTTCCAAGTTGGCTCATGCCTTTACGTGACCGCAGCGGTCAAAGCAGCCAGCCATTTCGGCAGGGCACAAGGTGCCCACAGCGGTCAAAGCAAGTTTAAGGTTCATTGGAACGTCGAGACCTTGGGTGCACATACAGCGTTTACATTCAAACGAGGCAGGTTTTCCTAGGTCGTTGTAATGAGGTTTGGCTTCATCGGTTTCGGTCCCCTCCATGTGGTTCCCCTTTTCATCCTTTCCCCTTTACCTATTTCTTTTCTCTTCTTTTCTTTCATGTCTTCCCTTGCTTCATGTCCTGTCAGCTCATCTCTTTCCTTCTTTTGCGTGCACACTGCCCGGCCCTTAGTTTGTACATGCACCACCTACTTTCAAATCAGGTTTCAGGTCTGTCCCGTCTTGTCCTCTTCATGTCTTCATTCTTTTGTCTTCTGCGCGCACGCTCACACCTTTGCCCGGACCTTAGTGCTTCTCGCCTCCCCTCGGGGAGGCGTGTGTGTGTGTGTGCCCCTTGTAGTTACAGGAATTCCGTTGAGTTGCTTCTATTTACTTCAGCAGGGGGCTCTCGGAGCCTGCATGAGACGAGAGCCAACGAAGACTCTCATGCAGTGCTTGTGTAAACGTACCTGCTTGGTGCACCTGGGCGCATTATAAGCCGCGGCTGGCGGCCACCCTTCTTCCTCTTCCTTTTCTTTGTAAAGGGCTAGTGAGCTCCGCAGATGTGCACGCACCGCCGTCATCTTGTTCGACCCGTGATCGCCGATTGGCTTCTTCCGCTTTGGGCCATTTCTCCGTTTGAGGACCCCGAGGCTCCAGTGGTTTCCTACTTGTACTCTTAGGAAATGGTACCCTAGGCCGGCGTGTGGCACCGCTGTCAAGTCAGTACGCATATCCATGAGTGTGTGTGTGCGTTCCTTTCGCTTTGGCAAATGGACTTTGAAGAACCATGTCACAAGGTGCTCTATTTGAATCACAAATCAAAGAAGTAGAATGCACATTAAATGTGTGCCTCGTCTGTGCCATCTGTTGTCCCAGACACCTGAGCCACAAAACAATCAATCTGCCCAATTGAGGCCGGTGTCCAAAGCCCTTTAAAATGAGAGCGCCTGGGGCAACCAAAGGTGCCGAGCACTCCGAGGGCATTCGGCTTCCATGAAGTGATGGCCACAAAAGGACAAGGTTTCTCAAAACAGCTTAATTGCAAAAGGAACCTACAGTAATAGCCATAGCCTCCACCCTAGAAGCGATGGCCTCCAACCTAATAGCGATATTTTGAGAAAAAGAAAAGACTGTGTCTACAAAACAAAATTACGCTGAAACGGTTGACTACCGAAAACCTGCAAAATCAATGGTTTCGTGTTGTCCGCAAAATTTGGACACGATGCTTGTTGTACCTGGTTCTTGACTTGAAGAACGACTGCGATTTCCATGCACTCCAAAACATCACAAAACGACAGAATTATATATCAAACAAACACACACAATTTAAGTATATAAAGCATTGTCCCCATCCATGTGGATTTGGGGAAATCTCGGGAAAATGATATGTCCCACAGTAATCCAAAATCCAAATCCACCTCTGTTAGGAAACATATCTTCCAGGAGAAACTGCATCAATGTCGTCACCACTCTAGAATTTGAGCTCCAGATCTGTCCACTCGGAATGAGTCAAGATCGAGGACCACACAAGTCGCCTTTTGGATGAAAATACCAACTTGCCAGCCATTGCTGGGTTACACTGCCAACTTTGTGCAGTCCAAATCAAGCTGGCGGTACCCTGCTGATTTCGCAAAGGGCCTTCTTTGTGAATACCGACAGCAACTGCTTTTGCTGCGCCATCATTCTCAACAAGAAAACCAATCAGCCTGGCTGCCTGCGCGTTGTAGTGACGATAGATTCTATCTTGAACACTGTGTTGCAAACTGAGACCTGCGAATACCTGCGAGCCCATTCACCAACCCTTTTCTGACTGTCAAGAAGCTTGGCAGTATGCAAAATGTTCGCATCGCCCTTTGCCTTCCTGTGCCCGGCCGGCTGTGTATTCTCCTTTCGCGGTTCATTTCGTCCTCGCGGGTATGATTAAAGTGATCGACTTCGTTGAGGCTTATGGTGTTTCTCCTTTCGACAATGTGTTTATTCCCTCCTACACTTCTCCTTCGCGTCATCTGCCCCGCAGCTGTGAATGTTATCATGTAGTGTACATACTGATGTCCCAGCCCAATTGTCTCACTTGGACATTGAAATACATCTGCCTACCCTTATGATGTGCCTTACAGCCTAACTCTGAAATCTCAAGGATTCATTTTAAAAATGCAAATTACACCACCGTAGACCCCAAACAGTTAAACTAGAGCTTGCGACGTCCAGAGCTGGGAGACAAATGTAAAGGATTGCAAGGCAGAGACGGACACAGCAGTACAGAGCGGGCGGACACATCTTAAGAAAGAATTGAGAAGCCCTAACAGTAAACCTTTTGGGGAATTATTCTTCAAGTGCGAACATGATGCTGGTCATGCTGCTCAATCAGCGGGCAGCTGACCACGTGAGGACAAGAAATAAAAGCATGAGGATGATTCTTGGTGCCTGACGTATGCCCTCCGCCCCAACTGAACAGAGAGATCGCTGCCACGCCGCCGAAATCCAATCCGGTCATTCATCCAACGCTTGCCCGAAAAGGAAAACAAAGCTGAGAGAGTTACACAGTGTGGCAGCAATGCAATCCCGGAGACAGTCACGCACCCCTTTCAAAGGAGCAAGAACCTTTCACACGCGAACCTGTTCCAGCGGACAGGGCAGAAAACAGCAGTGCAGGCACCAAACCTGAAAGACAAAAAGAAAGAAGTCACATGGGAGATAAATGAATAGAAATGCTACATGGCCAGCGGAAAAGGGCGGCAGCACCAGTGACAGACCCGGGAAACAAATGAATAGAAATGCTGCATGGCCAGCGGAAAAGGGCGGACGCAGTGACAGACCTCGAAAACAAATGAATAGAAATGTTGCATCGCCAGCGGAAAAAGGGCGGACACCAACAGTGACAGACCTGGGAGACTAATGAATAGAAATGCTGAAAAGGGCGGACACCAGCAGTGACAGACCTGGGAGACAAATGAATGGAAATGCTACATGGCCAACGGAAAAGAGCGGACAGCAGCAGTAACGGACCTGGGAAACAAATGAATGCTACATGGCACCAGCAGTGACGGACCTGGCAGACAAATGAATAGAAATGCTTCATGGCCAATACACAAGGACACACCAGTGACAGACCTGCAAACGGAGAAGGGCGGACACCAGCAGTGACAGACCTGGGACATGAATAGAAATGCTGCATGGCCAGCGGAAAAGGGCAGAAATTAGCGGTGACAAACATGGGAGACAAAAGAAGTGGGAGACAAATGAACCCGACCACAAGCACCCAACCTGGGAGACAAATGAAAGAATTGGGAGACAAGTGAAAAGAACTGGGAGACAAATGAAAGGAGAGCCGGGAACCCGACCACAAGCACCCAGCCTGGGGGGAAACAAATGAAAAGAACTGGGAGACAAATGAAAAGAACTGGGAGACAAATGAAAGGAAGTGGGAGACAAGCTGGCCGGGAACCCGACCAGACCATCCAGCACCAAGGCGACCATTCTTTAAAGCATTGAGAACCCCTGACAGTAAACTGTTTGGGGAAAAAAGCACTCAGAAATGATGACCAGGAAATGCAAAAGAAAGGCGTGAAAGGGCAAAAAAGCAGCTGGTCAAAAAGAGTGCATATCAAAAAGCTCAAGAATTCCAAAAGGAAGCCGCAAAAAATTAAACGCAAACAAAACGCAAAACATCAGTTTAAAAAAACACAAAAGAAAACGCAAAACAAATGCAAAAAACACACTAAATGCACATGCACAACCAAATTTCCCACACCACCTTTTTTGTGTGTTTTTGCGATGTTTGTGTGTTTTGTGTGCGATATGTGTACGTCATTTTTTGTGATTTGTGTGCGTGTTGTTTGCGTTTTTCGTTTTCTGGGCGTTTTCCCAAGGAAACGCACCAACAATGCACAAAAAAATGCAAAACATCGCAAAAGGACTGGCAATCTAAAGGCACATAAAAAGCAAAAAAAGCAAATGCAAAGACCAGAACGTTTTGTGTGCTTTTGTCTTTTTTGCTTGCCTTGTTTTTGCATTTGTTTGCATTATGTGTGCATGTTTTGAACTTTTAAGTGGACAATTGCGGTGCTTTTTTGCGCGTGGTGTTTGCATTTTTTTCATTTCGACGCTTCCCTTGGTGACGTGTTTTTGTTTTCATCGTTTTCTGTGCATTTTTTGCAGCATTGGTTTTGCATTGTGTTTGCCTTGTTTATGCTTTTATGTTTTGCTGTGTCATCAGAACTAGCTTTAATGCACATCATAAGCCTACCCTCATGTCGCCATTTCGCAGCAATTTGGGTGCCGCCAAGTCAAGTTTATAGCCTTTTCCAAAACACATGGTCTTGGCAACGATGTTGTCGGCTCAAGCCGCAAGACTGACCACAGTTTGCCTGGTCCTAGAAAAGTGTGGGCATGAAAAGCAAACTACTTCATCATCCGAGTAGCTTCACAAAGCTGAAATCAAACAACCTTTTCCAATGTTTGCGGGGCGGTGGTCTTAGCAGTGCCTCAGGCCTGTGCATATACCAAATGTAGCAAAATGACAACCAGCATGCAGTGAAACGTCCATTTACTGTAGATTGATCTTGTAGAAGGTGTTCAAAGCCACATTATGGCATCCCGTGGGACCCACGTCATGGGTCACTTCTTCCCATCCGTCCCTCTTCACTTCCCAGCGGTCCGCTTGCCGGAGCCGTGCAGCTTTGGAAGAGCCATGGTCTGGCGCCTGGCAGGTCAATCAAGTCAAACATTTAACAAGTGACCTGATACCTCTGTGCACCAGGAGTGGTGAAGAAAACAACAGCTCACGAGAAATTGGCCAGTGCAGCGTCTACCTCCTCGTAGACAAATCCAGACATCACCTCAGCACGTGTCGAACCAAACGAAATATGCAGCGTGTCCTTCTACATGTGTATATATATATATATAAAGACGTAAGAGTTCCATAAGGTTCCATATGATCCGTGTATCATCTAGGCCCAGCACTCCTCCATCTTTGAGCTCTCCTGCCTTGCTTGTAAACAGTGGGAAAAAAGAAGAAACAAGTCCCACCATTCTGGGGCGGCTTAGGTCAATACGGCAAGTGGGTCATCAATTGCAGCCCCAATATGGAGCTTTTGCGTCTCCGAGAGGCATTTGTTGATCACATCCTCATGATTTGAATGGCCCAACTTCAACTGGATAAAAGTTTGCCCTTCTTAGAGGAGTTTGGCAGCTAGAAAGAATTGCATCTTAATCTTAATTCTGAGGCATACAAGAGTCTCTAAGAGCTTATTGCCCACAGTAACCCGGTTGCCAGCTTTGCTGACGATCCACTTCCTCGAGCATTCCCAATCTGAATGTCTGTCATGCTCGTTATTGAGCATTCAGCTAAGAGTCTCTGATGTGTGAGCGAAGCTGCACGCATTGATCCAGCCTCGGCACCACTTGATCTATATATATATACATATCTAACGGTGCCAGCTGCGGTGAGTCAACTCATTCAAAGAGACTGCTAAGCACCTTGCATTTTGCTGCCATGCCTCCGTTGCAAGCTAAGCAGGTAAAGTTTGCTCACGGATTCTTGTTCACAGCAGACTGGGTCTCTTGTCCTCTGTCCTTGCACAGTCTGAGGCCAAGACTGGTGAATCTGTTGCTGTTCCCCAAAGTCTTTCAGTCTGCCAGCACTCTGCTGGAGGAACTTTGCCTCTACAAATGAAGCCAAACCAAGAGCGCAACCGTCAATAGTACTGCCATCTCCTGCCTCCTTCCCCACCATTCCAAGCTCAGTGTCCAGTGCTTTCAGCTCACGAGCAATGATGTCCAGCTTGAAAATGTCCAGCTCCTGACGGAAAATCGTGCCAGGAAACAGGCAAAATTGTGTCCCATTTAAAGGAGCCTTACTGTGAATGACACGCACAAATCGAAAAGCTTTCATGTGTTCATGAACCAAACCGGGCACACAGCTGCCTTTGTGTGTCAAGCGACCGAAAAAGAGGTCAAGGGCGCCCGGGGCGGAAGGGGCGATAGCGCCATCAGTGACGCTTAGCGGAGGTGCTTTTGACTGCTGTTCAAGTGCTGTTCGAGAGGTTCGTGACTTCAGGTTATGAGCCCAAGCCCAGTCCATTGCGTTTGGGTTTGATGTCCATGCAGCATCGCCGCCGTGCCACCAGACAAGAGTTGGCACAAGGTGAAGCTGAAATGAAAAAAGCCCATGAAAGGATGCAAAAAGAAGCTCAAGAACGAGGAGAATTGCCGCTGGGAAATGGTGGGATAGATGATGGGGGCCAAGGAACTCCTGCCACGACTGCTGCCATCCCTGCGACAGAAGCCTCTCACTCCACCACTAAGGCAACTGAGGTCACTGATTTGAGGACCCCAGATGACAAAAAGAAAGCAGGACCAAAGACCGTGGAAGCCGAGAAGCCTCCTGGGACATCGAGGTCCGTGAAGTCGACACCAATGAAGGAAGCTGAAGATCAAAGATCAGAAGGAAGGCTGGGAAAGGGAAAGGGGAAAGAACAGGGTCCAGAAGGGTCAACCAGAGAAGGTGAAGTGCCCGTTGAAGCCCATACAATCTACACCCCACCTGCACCGCCAGAGCGAACAGAGCGTTTGTTTACTGCAGAGCAGTTGGAGGGACTTCATAGCATGTATGAACAAGCCCCTTGGTTGTACTCTCAGTTCACCACTCCTCAACCACCGCTTCAACGACCTGGGTTTCTACAAGAAGAAGAAGGTCGAAGTGCAGAGTGCAGAGGTAATGAGGCATCAAAGGTGGGAAGAACTGAAGGAAAAACAAGAAAGGGTTGAGAAGCATTTGGAACTGGAGCGCCTTGAAAAGGAGGAGATGTCCAAGCATCTCCAACAACTGGTCAAAGAAAATCAAAGGTTGAAAGATCAGGCGGCAGGCTTGTATCCCCTGCTCCGTTCCAAAGAAGTTGAAGAAGAAAGGAAAGAACAGTTGAGAAGACTATGGGAAGAAAACCAAAGATTGAAGGATGACATGCGCCGTCGGTTCATTTCGGCGGAACAAACGCAAGAAGAGGAACTACCCTTCGAAACACCACCTGGCAGCTCAGGACTGGGTGGACCACAAGAACGACCTGAACCAGGTCTAGATGAAAAGGAGTTCAAGCCAGAGGAGCCCCTGCCTGATCGTTCAGGCAAGGGCAGAAGTTCAAGAAAGAAAGAAGATCCTGAACCGACCGGAGATGTAGACCAGCAAACGCTGACCGTCATTCTACGGTTGGTTGAGGGCATGCAGAAGATCCAGGATAAGATGGCCACTGGACATCATGGAGAAGGAGCACATGATCCAGAGACCGTGAGGTCAAGCGTGGAGTTACCACGTTTGGCGGAATGGAACTGCGAAACAGGGCCGATCGATTTCGCAGATTGGTTGCTGGTTTTGGCACCCCTGATGTCGGACCTCTCACCATCATCAGAGGAGTGGTGGGGGATGACAGTTGAAGAAGCACGAGAGTGGTACAGGCTCCGCATGTTGAAGTCCCCGCTCGAGAGATTGTCCCACAAGGCCATGCCAAGCATGAAGCTGCAACAGAAGAAGTGGAGCAGGTTGGAACGTCGTGCATCCGCATTGCTCTTAGCTGCAGTTCCGGAAGTCTTGAAGGAAGAAGTTGTGACGTCAAAATGTTTGACGACCTTTGGCATTCTGACCAAAGGTATGGTGACATACCAACCAGGAGGACTAGCTGAACGGCAAGCCATTCTGTCAGCCTTGGAGGGGCCGGCTGAACCAAGCACCATCCAAGGTGTAGTCCTGACTTTGAGAAGGTGGATCCGCTGGAAGCGGAGAGCCGAAGAGGTGGGTGTCAGCATTCCAGATCCCACCATCCTTGTAAAGGGACTTAACCGGATCACCAAGCGGTTGACATCCACCTTCCCGGAATTGTACTTCCGTTTGCAGCTGGTGAAGAGTTCATTGATGGTGGACTCCATTCCCACTCACGAGTCCATCAACAAGTACAGTGAACACCTCTTGGCGGAGCTGGAGCAGCTAGGTCACCAAAGCAAGAAGAAGGAAACCTCCACTGAGGCACCAAAGCTGAAGCGTTTCGAGGAGACCACCAAGGACCGAAAGGAAAGTCAAGAAAAGAAGGAAGGAGATGATAAAGGAAAAGAAAAAAGCAAGTGCAAGTTCTTCCTGACAGATCAAGGGTGTCGTCGTGGAAAGGGTTGCACGTTCAGCCATGATCAAAAGGATGACAAGCGAAGATGTTGGAACTGCGGTGGTGTAGATCACATGGCTACTACATGCACCCGATCCAAGGAAGGAAAAGAAGGTGGAAGGCCGAAGACCATGAAGATGGAAAAGGAAAAGAATGTCAAGGCCGAGGGGGAGGAAGATGAAGGACAGCCCCAACTATCGGTGAAAGATTTGTTGAAGGAGGCGAATGATATGCTGAAGAGCATGCAATCTCCATCATCATCCTCGGCAACTTCAACGTCGCCCAAGTCAGATGGAGAAAGACAGGAGGTAGTCGAACGCCTTCAACAACAGCTCAATGCCCTCAGGTTGAAGACCTTTCGAATCAAGAAGATGACAAAGGGAGAAAGGGGAGGACTCTTGGATAGTGGCGCAACCCATCCATTGAGACCCGCTCGACCAGGTGAAGACATCAACACCTACGAACAGGTTCAAGTTGCCATTGGCTGATACAGACGACTCGACTGGCTCTATCTCCTGGAGGCAGCATGGTCACGGCTGATCAAGACATCGAGCCGATCATCCCGATGGGCCTCATTGCCAATGTCCGAGCTCGGTGAAGTGGAATCAAGACAGTTTGGAGGTGGAGCATCCAACGGCTGGAAGGTTGCCAGTCGAGACAAAAAATGGATGTCCTCAACTGCCCCGCAAAGTTGCATTGAAGTTGATTGAGGAGCTGGAAGCCACTAAGCAGGGCATCAAGTTCTCGGATGATGATGAGTTCAAGGAGGAGACCCGTTGGATGAGACAGTTTGTAGAAGCTCACCCGGTGCTGAGTCAACTCCCTATGGAAATGAAGAAGTCATTGGTGGTGAAGCCAGGTCCTTGGAGCAACCTCCCAGCCAATAGAAGGAAGAGAAAAGCCATGAAAAGGGATGGATTCGTCTGCCACCTATACGCTGGGTTGGATCAGTGGTTTACCCTTCAAAGAGCATGGGAGCAATGTGGAGGAGGTCCTAATGAGCTGTTGGAGATCGATCTTCAAAGAGGAGAAGGACACAACATGCTGGATGATCATGGACCATATTCAGGGTTGTTGCGGGCCGTTTGGGAGAACAAGCTCCGAGGCCTAGTTGGGGGTCCGAACTGCAGGACCAGAAGTGTGATGAGGCACAAGCCAGTCGACTGGTCAAATCCACCAAGACCAGTGAGAAAGTGGGGCGGAGAAGAATATGGGATCAAAGAGGCCACCCCAGAGGAAAAGAAAAAAGTCACAGAGGATGATCAGTTGCTATGGAGGATGATCTTCTTAGCAGTTTTGGACGAAGCTCTGAAGACGGCTCAGGCTGGAAGAGAAAAGATGGGATTTGGCATCGAGCAGCCAGCATCCCCCAAGGCATACAACCCAGATGTGGTATCTCTCTGGGATACACCAGAGTGGAAGAAGTTGAAGGAAGACTATGGTTGGCTCGAAACTACTTTCAGTCACAAGCCGCTGGGAGGTCAAGCCGTGAAACCTACAACAATGGGTGAAAACTGGAAACCTCACCTACAATCCCGATGACCACGCTATGGCCAGCCCAAGGAATGTCGAGGTGAAAGGTTCATGGGAGCTGGCAAGGTGGCCTCCTGGATTGATGAGGATGGTTGCTGAAGCCCTTATGACCCAGGTCATGAAGAAGCAGCCGAAGCTCAAGGGATTGTCGTGGGATGAACACATTGCACTCGGTCACACACCTTCGAGAAGAGACTGTCGGGTGTGTCAGGAAGTTCGACAGCAATGTGAACCCCATCGACGTGGCTGGTGTCCTCTCCTTGGACATGGCTGGTCCGTTAAAGCCAGCAAATGATGTGGGCGGACTTCAAACCCGCTATTTCCTTGCAGGCACGTTCACTTGGTTGGTTCCCAAGAACATCGGCCAAAAGGACCCTGATGACATTCCAGGGGGAGAAGGAGATGAAGAAGGTCCTGAGATTGATCAGGATCGTGTGAGAAAGGATGATGAAGAAGAAGCCAACGACCAATAAGAAGAAGAAGAAGGAGAAAACCAAAAGGAAGAGATGGAGGATCAAGAAGAAAGACCACAAAGAGGCCTATCCGAAGCTGAAGAAGAAGAAGGAAAGGACCTGTATGATATGTTGGATGAACCTCAACCTCCATCAAGTGAAGAAGAACTGAAGATTCCCGAGGACCATGATTTGCGTGTGTTCCGCATGGCCATTCCAATCTGGTCAAAGAAGTCCACTGAAGTCACCAAGGGTGCCATGGAACTCATCCTGAAGCTAAGAATGGATGGATACCATGTGAACCACATCCACGTGGACCAGGGACACGAATTCGCCGGCCACTTCGCCAATTGGTGCCGAAAAAGAGGAATTCTGATCACCCGTACAGCAGGTGATGAACCTCAATCCAACGGCAGGGCCGAGGTTTGTGTCAAGATGGTGAAGACCATGGTCCGAAAGGCACTCCTCCATGGGAATGTGGACTACAAGTGGTGGCCATGGGCGGTTCGCTATGTCAACGAAGTGTTGAGACAGCATCGATTGCATGAGAAACCTCAATTCCCCAGCTTCATGGAGCCAGTGATCATCAGGAAAAGAAGGTGGGATAAGGAAGTGCCAGACTTCAGCCCCACAACCGAGACCGTGGTGTATTTGTGCCCATCTCCGGAAAACCATGGACATTGGGTATTCAAGAAAGGTGAACCACCACGCCTCACTCGAAGTGTGTTCAAGAAGTTGGAAACACCTCCAACCAATGCCCACTGGATTGCACTGGAAAGAGAACTGTTGGATGGACTATCTCTTCGACGACGTCTTCGAGAGAAAACAACAGTGAAGAAGCTGGAAGGATTGAAGGAAGAAAGAGAAGATAAAGAAAAGATGTTCAAGAAAAGGGTGAAGAAAGTGATTGAGGAAGAGATGCAACACATTGTGGACGACCCTCCGAAGCTGGCCATCTATGGACTTCAAATCATTGGAAAGATCCAATCTATGATAGCAGGGGAGGAGGAAGAAGAAGAGGAGGTGTTGCAAACGAAGATTGTGTCACTAAGAGAGGTGGCTGCAAATTGGGAAAAGTGGCGAATCCCAGCATCAGAAGAAATTGACTCCCTCATCACGGAGAAACAGGCCTTGCGTCCTATCACATGGGACACTGTTCAGGACATCACAAACGATGCCAAGAAAAAGGGCATCCGGGTAGACCTGATTCCCTCCAAGGTCGTCTGGACTAAGAAGCCTGGAAAGAAGGGAGGAAAGCTTAAAGTGAGATGGGTGGCATGTGGAAATCACGAAGCCAAAGCCGATGATGAGATAAACTACTCCTCAGGAGCAGACGCAGCCGCTTTCAGGATCATGATTTGGATTGCTTGTCAGTTTCAATGGGCTGGCTGCACTTTGGACGTCAAAACTGCCTTTCTCAATGCGGACATGGAACATCAAGAAGGTGAACAAATCCTGATGGTACTACCACCGCCGTTTTTGGTGGAGCGAGGATTGTTGCAAAAGAACACGCCTACTACATCCCAGAGAAGGCACTGTACGGGTTTCGTCGCTCACCGAAACTGTGGTCGGCTCATCGCGCACAGAGTCATGGAGAAGTTCAGGATTGAAGTGGAGCTCAAAGAAAAAGAGGAAGAAGAAGGTCAAAAGAAGACCAAAAGGATTCTCAGGCTGGTCGCGTTAGACTCTGAGCCAAACCTTTGGCGCATCATCTCACGACCAAGTGAAACAAAAGATGAAGAAAAAGATAGGTTGTGGGGATTGGTGATGACCTACGTTGACGACATCTTCATCGTGGCTGAAGAAGAAGTCAAGCAGGCAGTAGAAACCAGTCCCGAGCCACTTGGCAGACTTCAACCCCAGAGCATGTGACCTCAAAGCCTGTTCGATTCCTGGGAATGGAAGTGTCAAAAGAAAGGAATGATGAAAAAGATGAAGAAGTATGGTATGTGACGCAACACAACTACATCTGCGACCTCCTGGACCAGAATGAGGAGAAGGTGAAAGAAGAGAAGATTCCCATCACCAGGGATCAATCGCAGATGGAAAAAGATGATAAACCTGCAGGTGTCCCCAGCATCAGAAGTTCTCAAAAGTTGGTGGGAGAAGCATTGTGGCTGGTCACCAGATCCCGTCCGGATCTCATGTTCGCAGTTGCAAGGATGGGAGCCAATGTGTTGGAGGCCACTCAAGCAGTCCTGGACACCGGTGCTCAAATGAAGGGATATCTTCTTGGCACAAAAGAAGAAGGCTTGTGCTATCGAAGAGAAGAAGAAGAAGTCCCCTCTATACAAGTGTTCACCGATGCGTCGTTTGCTCCAGGATCTGAAGAGTCCCGCGGCTGCTATGTGGTGTGTTTGGGCACATGCCCAGTGTTCTGGCGATCAGGACGCCAATCCACGATCACATTGTCCACTGCAGAGTCCGAATTGAATGAAATCGTGGAGGGCATGACTGCAAGGGAGTCCATCGGAGTGGTGATCGAAGAGATCATAGGCCAGCTTCCCCACATCGTCTGGACCGACATCTGAAGGAGGAAGCTGGAGGACGAGACACTTACGTAATCTTACGTACACGAGCAGCTTTCGCTCGGCAGTGCATCCAAGATGGAATTTGGTCCATCAACCACCTCCCTGGGGAGTACATGATCGCCGACATTGGGACGAAGGCTCTTGCAAGTGGGAGACTGGAAGCACTGAAGAAGAAGATGGGTATCAGTGCACCAAAGGCTTCAAAGAAAGAAGAAAAAGAAGAAGAATGGAAGGAGGTGGAAACACCAAAGGAGACCAAAGAAAGTGAAGGTCCTCAGTTGAAGCAGGCAGCCATAGTTCTTCGACTATTGACTGTGGCAGCCATGATGACAGAAGCAAAAGGAGGAGAGGAGGAAGAAGCTAAAGAAAGTGGCTGGACCATCGAGTATATGGTTATGGGATATACGATGATGATCATGGCCATCACGTCCCTGTTCTGGTTCGTCTTGAAGGAAGGAGTAATGGGAAGGTGGTTTCAAAGATCCTCCAACTCACGAAGTCTTCCCAGGACCTCCAGCCAAGGGGAAAGAAGGATGAAAATGATGAGGAAAGTGAAAGAAAAGGAAAGTGAAGAGGAGGAAGATGAAGAAAGAACACCAGTTCGAAGGCCGAAGCATTTGCCCCTGGAGTTGACGATCACGCCACCAAGAGCCAATCAAGACGGGAGTACATCAAGTCCCGTCATCATCATTGATGGCACAAAGATCACTTTTTCAGAGATTGGTGCTTCGCCTCCAGACCAAAGAAACCAAGGAATGATCAAGCACCTATCCCAAAGGGAACCAAGAGAAGATCTGAAGATGAAGAAAATGGGAGAAGAGGAGGAAGAAGCTAAAAAGGAAAGAGAGGAACAGGAAAGAAGTCGTGGAGCCTCAAGTTCAGGACAGACCACGACGCAAAGCCAAGACATCGGATCTGCAGAAGTCCAAGAGCAGATTCCTCCGATGCCCAGAAGAAAAGAAAGCATGAACATGACACCACCGATACAGCCGCTGCCAGAAGCAGATCAGCTGCCGGTTGTGTTGACTACAAAGTATGGAAAAGCTCACCATCGCCGCATGACTTGCGGTTACTTGAAGGCACCTGGCACTCGCGAGATTCGAAGGAGTTCATGGTGCATGCCTTCGAAATGCTCCGCCGGATCAAGATGCTCCAACTACACTATGGGCACGAAGTTGGGGTGGCAGCATACACTCCAATCGATCGTGCTCAGAGCTTGGCATTGAAGTGTTGAAGTACACCCCATGCAGCCAATGCGTCGGGTGAAAAGAAAAGAAGAAAGAAACGAAGGCAGTTTGGGTCAATTTTGAAAGAGAAAGATGTGAGAAGGGAAACCCTCTCCCCTCACGAAGAGAGGGAGGGGGAGTGTGGATGACACGCACAAATCGAGAAGCTTTCATGTGTTCATGAACCAAACCGGGCACTCAGCTGCCTTTGTGTGTCAAGCGACCGAAAAAGAGGTCAAGGGCGCCCGGGGCGGAAGGGGCGATAGCGCCATCAGTGACGCTTAGCGGAGGTGCTTTTGACTGCTGTTCAAGTGCTGTTCGAGAGGTTCGTAACTTCACTTACCTTCCCCTTTTTATTGATAGTTGTGTTCTTTTCTTACATGATTCCTTGTTACAAATGCATCTCCAGCGCTGAGGGCCTTGTACTTGATTGCCATAAGACGCTCTCTGTCGAGAGCCTCACCAGCGGACAACAGGAAAATGCTGTCTCCACAAAAAGACCGAGGTCACAACTTTTGACCAACACATGCTCTCAAAGCGCATCACTCTTTTTCAAATTGAGCTTGTCAGGCCATGGATATCTCGGAACATCTAGAGCGTCTCGGAACTCATTGCTGGAGGCTGGCCATGGTCTTGAGAATTCCAAGAAAATCTATATATATATATATGCAAAAGTCATTGGCTAGACAGCAGCGCTAGACAGCATCGTCTGAAGTTCCTTTTACCCCTTGAGGAAACGGGTGAACCTTCAGGCACTATGCCATGCTCTATGCCATCGTCAGCCACGGTTCACCATGGTTCTGTTCCCGCTCTCTACTCCCACACGGTGCGAGCTCAGTGAAGTGGTGCAAGCGCTATCCTCTCGTAACGGTAAGGCAATGCTGAGAGAGGTGGCTGAGCTGATATCACGTGGTTGTCATAAAGGAAACTCATGAAAATGTTGCTCAGAGTTGAATGCTGCTATTGTACTCCTAACAACCTGATTTTGCACTGGATTTCACTGTGTGCCCAAAGTTTGGTCCTTCGGGTGCTTGCAGGAATCATGCGTTCACGTTCCTCAGCTACAGGTTTCACAGCGGATCTCAAGTTGCATGAGAAAAGACGAGTCCAAAAGATGGTTAGGTTACTTAGACCTTGAAAAGTCGAGAGTCGAAAGGTCCGCGCAGCTCTCCTGTCACCATGCCACGTGTCAATAGTCTTTAAAGACAAAGAATTAACACCAGAGTTAAGAAAAATTACAGTAACTCTGGTATTCACTCCATTTCGACTTGGGATGAACAGTCCGTCCTTCACACGCTTGACCATGGTCACTTCGCACTCGCGGATCCATTTGCGAGGGTCATAGTAGCCTAACTCAGGAGAATCTCTCATGGTTTGTGACATACTCATGCGGGCCCACAAACCTCGAAGATGCTCGGGCGGCTTGGTATATCATCTCTGTGTTACCAAAAGAGCTGTTGTGGGTCGTCAACACAACGTCTCAACCACCCAGAATTCAAAGCCAATGCATGCCGGGCAGCTCTTGTTCGGCTTGTCCTCACCTTCTGGGTTTCCAATCTGACCCTGCAAGTAGCCTCAGTGTCCGTCTCCATCACTCCTTGCATTCTATTCCATTCTGAGAAACGCACCCTCCTTGGCCTTGTAGAACTTCAGCAAGCCTTCCCAGTAGGCCCACTGCCTCAGCCCAGTGGCCAGTTTCTTCTTTCACTTCCATACACTGGGGTCACCTGCATGCCAACATTCCACTCCCTGTCCGTGTTTTTATATACTGTAACGGCTTTCACTGCAGAGGACATCTTCCAAAGAAACAGGCTACCCTGAGGACTCTCCAAAGGATCCCCTCTAAGGGGTCCAGTGCAAGGGTTAAGGACAGGTGCCAGTTTTGAGTCCATGCACCACGTAGGAAAGCACTTGTCGCATCAGCAAACTCCCTGTAGTAGTTACTAGTCACTAGTCAATCTCACTTTCAGCATCCAAGCTCTCGGCGTGTCAGTGTCCACGTTCATCTTGACGACACCTGCATTGAGAGCCTCAAAGGGTTGAATTAAAGAAATGAGTGGACACTTGCATGATCGTGCCAGTTCAAGAACACGACAGCATCCACAAATCTACAAGTAACAAGTAAAGTGCATTTGCTACCGTAAGCCTCTGGCAGTGGCAATGTGATGCTTCTCAGATCCAGATCCACCGTGGAAGACAAAGTTCAAAGGCCTGTTAATCGCAAACACATGGGTGGTACTGAACACTCCGAATACAAAGCTGTGTATATGTTTTGTAGTCTATATAGATGCCTTGTATCTCACTCTGAAAAAAAGGTCAGAGGTTGAATGAAAAACATTATATATATATATATGTGTATTACTTTCGGCCTGTCAATATCCTTGCCAGTGGATGCTTTGATCTGCTCCCTGGCGTAGTCTTGCATGTCCTTCGTGAAATTGGCTTTGAGGATTGCAGTGTCTATGGTAAACAAATGATCATAAAGTCCTGCAGTAGTTCGGGCTTCAGCACCACATTGCCTGCCTGTACACAAAATTGGTGTCTTAACCACTGATATCCACGAATTAGGATGAAAAATATTGCCTTATAGACTCCGTGGACATTGCCGAAGGCTGCCGCTATGGTAAACCTACACCAATTGCTCAGCGTGATTCTGCCACAAACAGTGCTTGAGAGCTTGGGCGCGGACATGGGAGAAATTGGGCTGAGGCCCTTGTAGACGGCAAACACATCTTGTGGGGTGGAATACAGCTTCTCCTTGCTAGGAACAAGAAGATACTAGGGGCTCCTGGCCTTACTACTAGGAACAAAGACGCTACTAGGGGCTCCTACTAGGAACAAGAAGCTAGTAGTAGCTATTTGCTACTCGATCAACATTCGAGACATGGAGTTTTTGACTCGAAGCTAGGGCATCGCAGGAGGACTCAAAAGCACTCCTTAGCGGCTCCACTGTTGTCGACACCATCCTCAACGCCACCTGTGATACCGATCTCCATCTCCTTAAGCAAAGCAACAGGTCTGCTTTGTGAGCAGAAGCAGTCACGGCATAATAAGGTCCATCCGTGAACCTTGATGGAGCCGAGATGCCAGAATAATCTTCATCGGGGCCATGCGCTTCAAATACCTTACAGGCCAGTCAAGCAATTGTCCAAAAAAGAAAACTTCAGACATTTCAAAGTACCGCTTCTAGCGGAGGTATTGACCATTTCCTGGTTTCATCTCCAATCCCACAAATGCGGGACGGGTGCTTCTCGCAAATCGCGATGTTTTCCTCATCTGGCTCCTCGGACCTGGTGTAGAGAAGTAAAAAACCCTTCATGATCCTTCATATCTGTATTGCAGTATATATACTGCAGTAAAATTCAACAAATGCATCAGATTCAAGCTTTCTGCGCACTCACTTGGTGCCCGACAAATCCAGCATGTGGGAAGAGAACAATGGCTCTCCATGTTCCTTGAAGTATGCTTCGTCTGCCTCCAACATACCTTGGTTGTTTAGTTTTAACTGCTTCAAATGTTGGACAAAGTTTACAAGCAGAGGCCAGTGCCGTCAAACCATGGCAACAACTTCTTTGCGCAGTGGTCCGAATGCACGAGGACCTGGCAACACATTGCCAAATCTGATGTCCTGCTGAAATGGTTGAATCTGCGGATTGCATGCTGCCAGCAATTCTGGTGTTGGCTGACCGGGATGCCGTAGGCCGGAGCCACTGCTCGTGCAAAGTGCGCACCCGCAACAGCTCCAAGGATTGAAGCCTTGCAAGGACAAAGAGTAGCTCTCTTCCAGTCATCGCAGTCATCTCACATATCCAGCGGCTCAATCGCTGTTCATCTTCCAATTCATGATTGCAAAATGTGTGGTTTTACCGCCGTGACAAATGGACCTGCCCACCTCAGGTAGCATTTCTTTCCCCCTCTCATCATCGTGTGTTCTGCAGATTGCAAAGCAGCAAGGCCTGCAGCTTGCCCTTCTCATTGGGCAACGACTTTCCTGCAACCTCAGGCAGTCGAGGTATGCAAAGGTCAATAAGTCGAGGACGTCAACGCGCAAAATTAGCTCCAAGCAATCACGGGAACATATAGCCCTCATGGCAGCCATATTGCACTATATAAGTAGCATGCAGTAGCTTTAGCTGTAACAGAGTGCTGTTCTGCCGCTAATGCACAAGCCTGAATGCTTCCCGGACATAACTACAAGCTACAAACTGCATCGGTGTGAGCACAAGTAGCAGACGAGAACCCATTGTTTTGGGGATTTACAGGTACAATCCAAACCATCATCGTATCATATCGAATTTTTGGTTGCTGCTTCTTTTTCATCAAATCTTGCACGGTGCTTTCATGGACAGAATCTGGTGTCTCAGGCAGGACTGGGATCAGAAGGTTTGTTCCTTTTGTTGTTTGCTTGGGCGGGTTGCTATATAATTGCGTGTCCTTGTTGAAAGCAGCTTCGTCCTCCACTTGTCATTCTGTGACGCGTGCAAAGTTTACAAAATGACTTTCTAGATGATGCTGTTCAAGTTTGTTCATCTTTTGCAGATACCTTTTTTCAAATCTGAAAAGGTTGAATCGCCGAGCTGCGAAGGCAGAGCCTCCTTCCGAGAATTGAATCATCACAGGTCGGTTCAGCTCCTGGAAGGGTTCTATCGTTTCAAATACAGTACAAAGATCACACACCATGAATCCAATCCCATTGTGCAGATGTCTTCTCATCTGTCTCTTCGGCGCAGGAGTCCGGTCCCAACATATGAAAAGTCTGTATCTGCCACTACTGAGCACTGCCCAAACTCCCATTTCAGTACAGTCCTTGCCAGCTTCAAGCACTGAATTGATAGTGCTGGAACCTCACAACAAAGCTTACTGTAAGGCTTTGCTCGCACATTCATGGACCTGAGATAATGAGATTCTGAGAATCTGTTTCTCTCAGGCTTCAACTGGTGCAGTTGAAGGCTGGGATGGCATATTTGTGCTCCTGCCAAAAGTCAAAACAATCGAAACTCCGCAACGTGGTGAATATACTATACTTCAATGCTTCGGAGCTTAACATGCTCATCTCTCCTTGGCATGCTGCAGCAGGGACCAAGCCAGGTCTCCCGTGACCACACCAGCCTGTGCTGGGTTCCAGGTTCTAGCTGCTCTGTATAAACTGTGCGTTGTAACTTGAAATCTCGGCTCCGCCTTCATGCCTGGAATGTCCCAGAACCTTAGCTGAGTCTTACAACACATCTGTGAGAGTTACATGCTACCAGCCTGGTAGCAGCTGCCATGATTCGGTGATGAAATGCATGCAAGCCACGACATGGTTGTGACAGGCACCGGCGCTATGCGAAACAAATGCGTGTCAGCCAAAGGAGCTTCAGGTTGCTGCAGGAGTAGTACAAAGGCTGCTACACTAGCCCACAATTCTGTGACCAAAGATGCTTTCTCCAACAGGATCGTTGTCACCTAAAGACTTCGCCTTGCCTGCAAACGCAGCATGTCTTGCTTGGCTTTGTTAATTATTTTTGGGCCGTCAGCCCCGCCGTGAGAGGTTCTCCGGGTTATACTTTCTAGTTTTGCATCTGCGGGTTGGCGAGTAATTATATATATATATACTATACTGTATGCTTGGAACATATGCTTCTTTCCAAAGTCATGTGCCAGGTGGCATGGATCACTTGGTGCGCAACATTCGACTCACTTGGTGAGCAACTTTCGGCGTCTTTTGCCAATTGCCGCGCTAACATGCTGGGCACACTTTGCCGCGCTTTGACCCCTTGACAGCTCGTGGAAAGCCATGAAACAGTGGAGACATTCTGCAGTGATAGGAAGAGTGCGAAAGCCAAAGAGCGCCTGCTATGAATATCCCCTGTCCCTAGGAAATGATAGTGCCACTGTGGACACCAGAAAAAGCTAAGAAAGAACAAACCAAAGTCAATTGAAAAATAAGAATAATGCCCCTTTTTGGGCGCAGGTGCTAAACAAGCACTGGAAACTTAGCATGCTTCCAGCAACACAAAAGCTAAGACTTGAGAGGGGGGGCCCAAGGACGAAAGCTAGACTACAAAGGGTAAAGCAAGCTGAAGGAAGTTGGGCACAGTTGGGCTGAAGGAAGTGACGATTTTGCGACCTTGGTTGGACCGTGCTGTTGCATGTAGTTTGTTGCGAATTGTATGCGCAAATGTTGACGCTTGAGTGGCGCTTTAGTGCTCGCAGGGCCGTCGGCCACAACTTTCTAGCCATTTTCGAACCACCTTTGACGCTGTTGTGCGTGCAGCACCGTTGCCTATGCTTGCACTTCAGGGCGCTGCAAATTTTGGCGCTTTCTCGGCGTTATGCACGGTGCCGTTGGCTGCAGATTTTGATGCTTTTAGCCAGGCTGCCCGTGATCTTCCCACGTTCCAGGTTCCACGTCCCAACACATCTCGAAGCCCCTGGCTGCTAAGCAAGCCTTGGCAAATGATAACTCAAGGTTTGGCCTGGCGGCTAGCTTTCGTGATTTGAGGCGCTTCAAACCGCCTTTGAACCTGTTGAACCTTTTGAACCCATTTAACCTGTCGGCAAAACCTTCTTCCGCAGAAGTGACAAACGTTCCACATGGAGCAAAGACCCGTATTTTTATGTGGATGTTAAATTTTTATTGTCTGAAACAAGGCGCTCAATGACAACCCTGGCGAGAACTTGACGTGGAGCCTCTGCACCCCAATTGTATGTGTACAAACCACACCACACTACCTTGCAGAAAGAGATCATTGTGTAACGTTTTCCTGGCTAATGCATGCCAGAGATGTTTCTTTGTCCAGCATCGACATCTCCGGATTTTGAGGGGTACCATTTGTTGAGCACAGAACTTCATTGCTTCACTCGATGGCCTCCAACCTACTAGCGATGGCCTCCAACCGTTACTAGCGATGGTCTCCAACCTACTAGCGATGGCCTCCAACCTGCTAGCGATGGCCTCCAACCTACTAGATTCTTGCCACCACTCAAAAGCATGATTGCATAAACCATGCCTCTTGTCGCTCACGCTCCTGGGAAGCCAGTGGTGCAGGACGTGCAGGTGAGCCCCAGTCAAAAAAGGATTGGCGTGAAAAGCATTCTGAACATGCGAACTTTCGTCAAACTCAAGATCTTGGACCTTCAACCCATATCCGTTCAATCCTGTGTCCAAATCCCTATCGTGAGCTTTGGAAGAATTTGGGCAGCATTTGGAGGAAACGAATAAGCTCGCGTGACACCCAAAAACAATCTTCCGAATAGCTTCTTGTTGAATGCCTTTCCCTTCAAACTTGTGCCACCTGCACTTGGTTCCCTGAGAACGCTGGCTCGGGACAAACCCGAATGATCAATTGCACTCGGGACAACGTTCCAAGTTCCAAACCATTTCCCGCGCTCGCCTTCTCCTCAAGCTGGCGGCGAAGCTCAGCAAGCTCACCATCCGCGTTCCCCTCAAAAGCATTGTCTTGCGTTCGTTTCATGCGGTACACAGAGGTCTGTCTGCCCATCAACTAGGGACTGCAAAGGGGTGTCACACACGAAGAGTGGGCAAACAAAAAGGCTCTTGTTTTTTTGAATGCCCTTATGGATGAGCCTGCATTGGTCTTCGATATGATCGTCCTTTCGGTGGCATGCCCATGTGGGACCGCGAGTATGCATGTGACAATGTGTGGGCGCGACAAGTCAACTTGGGATTGAAATACCAGGCTTGATTTGCCGTTCCCGTCAGTGGTGGGTTTTGAGAGGTTCTGGTCGGCAACTTTGCATCTTCGAGGCACGTCATACAGTGGAGCTTCTGTTCTTCGTCATGCTGAGCCGCAAAGCAAGGGTTTTGGCCCATGGGTTTACCATAATATATATATATATATTTATTTATCTATTTGCCAAAGTACCGTATAATATACCTGTGCAGCGTGTGTCTGGAGACACAAGTAGCGGTGGGCAAGGAAAACAAAGGCTTGCTGCAGGGATACAGTGTCCGTGTTGTTTGTACATCAATAAGCTTTTTCGAGTCAAAACGTCAAATATCGTTGCAGTTGCGTTGCCACACCAGTTGTCCTTCTGAACTTTGTTGCAAATTGGCATAATCTTTTGTGGATTCACCTGCGTCTGCTAAACGTATGGCTGCACCGAGGCATGGCTTTCATCAAGTTGAGCTACCAAACCAACAAACCTGAAATCTTCAAAACGACAAAGGAACAGTCTAGGTCCACAGGCAATCTGTATCCATGGCGAGACGAGCAAATTACAAACAATATCAAGCTCCGTTTATCCTGGACTTTCAATAAACAAACTGACAGCTCCTTTTGGGAGACTACACAACCTGAAACAATCTAAATTCAGCTATCCAAGGTGGCCGATGTCCTGATTCCCTAAAAGCCTAAAAGCTCTTTTTGATTGGGACAACGTGCGTTGTCGTTCGGCCATCCGCTCTACCATCTTTCCTTGTGCTTTTACTATGGCTCGTTTCGGTCAAGGTGATCCCCGAGGTGTTTCACCAAGCTCTTTACATCTTTGTCTCGAAATTGCTTCTCTTCTTGACTCCATTCAGAGGCACCACTCCTAAGGAGTAGGCATCTATGAAAAATGCTCTTCTGTGTGTCATCCCGGTAATGTGAATATGTGTCATCCAGGTAGTTTCAATGATCAGTGACAAGGGCCGACACCGCTGCATTGGCGTTGTGCCTTATCTTCTCCCTACGGTCTTCCCGACTGACAAAGGTGTGCCTTCCGGCCAATCCGAAAGGGTGCAAATCCATCGTTCCGCACCTTGGCACGCATCAGCGCCAAGAGCTGCGAAGCCTCCTGGCGTTTTGTTTTGTTGGTTGTCACCAGGTGGTGGCTGAAGGGAGCCGGGAGGGCGCTCTTCCATCTCTTGATGGAATCCAAATCTCCAACCTCAAATGCGAAAACTGGCTAACGAAAAAGGAACGGCTCCCGCTGCGAAGTTTGAGGAACCATACAAAAGCGAAGAGTAAATCGCTCGATCCACCTAGGTGCCCTACGGCTTCAAAGGCCGCCAGCCTCAGCCCAGCGGTGCCCAGCGGTGCCCAGCGGTGCCCAGCCATACTTCTTAGACGAACACTGTCTTCTGAGAGACACTCTCGAAGCTGCAACTGCCTGAGGTCCCCACCTCTCTCGCAGCTGCTTGGCCTCTTCCTTGGCCCTGGCCTCGGTTCACTAGGCGCCAGGAGCACGATGCGTTTCAGTTGGGGAGGTGTTTTAAAGACTTTCAATTGGTCCTAAGGCCCATTGAATGCAAAATCCAAACAAAACCTTACCGGAAGAAAAGTGTTCATGGACTTGTTGAGCTTCAGGCCAACTCGTCTTCTCGTCTCTTCAGCCTGTCTTCTACCTCAAGGAGGGAAGCGGGAATTGAAATAGTACACGAGCACCCATATATATATATAACAATAATAGTAGGTCCACCTCTAAACGCTGGCCTCATCGAGCCTGGAAGCTTTTGCTCGAAGGTCCAGAAGCTCCTCAAACAGCTACAAAACGGCTCCATGTTTTTTGCCTGCTCCTAGGAACAAGTGCATCGCTACTAGTAACAAGTGCCTTACTAGTAGTAACAAGGTTCGCTACTAGAAACAATATACTCTAATTTTCGTTTTTGTTTTCTTTAGCCCGGACGGGGGGGTAGGCCGCGGTAGGCCGAGGAAGAGGTAGCTAATAGCTTGAATAAGCTACGTATGGACGCAGGATAGTTCACGCTTCTACAAGGAAGCGCTCGCACCAATGATTTGGTTCCTAGATGTTTTGGGAGATTTGACTATTGTGCTGCAACTTGCTCAATCGTCCACTAGCGCATTCAAAGCGCAGATTTCATTAAGTCAAGCGCGTGGTCACCAAGGAAGGATATATCCTATCTACGGAAACTTCTTATGGGACTTCAGTACTCACTGACATTCTGGTTGGTCCCACTCGTCCTGATCAACTCGTAAACCAGCATACTGTTTTGTACTGGAAAGAAAATAGCAGCTGCACATTGCAGGACTTCATATCTTTGAAGCTTATCTGCCATGAGCTTGCCCCCTCCTTCTCCCCGGAAGTGTGCCCCGCCAGAAAGTCCTTCATAGCCTTAGCCATGCCAATCACAACGCAGTATGTCGCCATGACCTACGAGGGTTGGACAGCTGCACTGTCCAAGAGATACTCCAAACCAAGTTCGCGGAAGGCCTTGGTCGAACTCTCTCCCTCTCTTGCTCGAGGACCACACTGCCTAAAACCTGAGTACTTGCAAAGCTTGCTCGGTCTGAGCCATCAAACATCCCGCAGCTTGGCATAGTTGCGAAGAAAACCCTTGAGGTTGTACGGGTCCTCAAGTGGAGTCCAGACAGGCTGCAGCAACTCGCCTTTTACATCATGTCAATATTGAGTCAGAATCGACAAAAATGATCTTGCTGGGTTTCCAATTCAAGTGCCATATCCTCTCTCCGTGCCTCGAAGAGTTCCGAGAAGCCGAACTCTTCGAAGGCTTTCCGCAAGCCCTGGTGGAGAAGCGAAACCACGGAAATGCTGTTTCCTCTCTGACACTCGGACCTCGTAGCGAGAGAGCACCTCTGCCAGTAGCGAGGGGTCCTCCAGACTTTAGGTCGTCATAGAAACAGTTGAAATAATAGATTCAATTAGATCATCAGAGATCACTGAGAAAGAGCTCCTTAAAAGCATCACCCAAGCCATTTTTCTCGAATATCTCTCTAACCCTCAGCTGCACGGATCATTTGCAGACGTGTGCTCTCAAGATGAATGCTCAAAGAATGCAGTCTTAGTCTCTCGTAGTCACTTTGTTTCAGAACAAGGCAGGATCTCTCTGAACAAACTTCTGGGCGTCCAACTGTTTGAGCAAGTCCAGCTGCTTTCGTAGCTCCTGGAGCTTGTACAACCGACGGATCCAAAAACTACGTCACAAAATGGCCCTTTCTGCCATCTGCCGTGAACAAAAGCCAACTGATTCACGGAAACAGCATTGTCCCTTGTCTGGTGTTTCTGATTCACAATGAGCAAAGCCTTTGCCAGTGGGCCAGTGTCGGTATGCCTCCAGTTTGGAGGGATCGTTGAAGACATCCCCAAAGCCGGCTGCCTCAAGGAAGACTGGAGAAATGCAACGCTTGTCAATTTGGATTCGGACCAAGCAATGTCGATGTGGCCTCGAGCATCTCTTTCAACTCTTTCGCAGAGCTCAGAAACCTTTTGAGCTCCTGCGCAGCGCTTGAAGGGAAATCTACTGGATACCCAACACGTGCACTCATCTGTACACATCGCTTTGCATCATAGCATAGCATATTGGCATAAACATGTCAGCATTTCTTCACTTCATATGTTGTGGCACCTTGCATAGCCACACATAGCTATTGAATCTTAGTAAATGACATCGAGCCTCAACATGTCTGGTCATTTGAATGTCTTTGCTGGGTTGTCTGACCAGAAAAAGGCCATATTGTCCTCTGGATTCTTCAGTAAGTCGTCTAAGCCGAGGTCGGCGAAAGCCTGACAGTTGAGGATGAAGGTTCCTTTCAAGCTGGAAGCAAGCAAGTTGTGTGAGAAGTGCAGCTGCCACAAAATGCGAAAATACAGCAGGCCATGAAGCCTATCAAAACTAGTCTGGGCAGATGGGATCCCACCTCCAGCACCTTGCGGAGCTCCTGAGGCTAGCAGACTAAAGTTTACATAATCCCCCCAAGATGCTAAGCAAAAAGCAGCCTTGTAAGCCCTTGAAATAGTCAAGCAGGGCAATAACTAATGACCCATTGAAGTTTCTACCGCCCTGCTGAGTACGTAGAATCGGACTTCAAAAATGCGCCACACCCACCAAAAAAAGAAAAGATGATCAAGGCCTCAGGATTCTCCAGGAAGTTCTCCAAACCCAGGTCTTTGAAAATCTGTCAGCCGGACTGGGCTTGCTCACTATCATTTGCAGTCAGGACCGGGCACCTTTTCCAGAGCTTGCCCTCGACGAAGAAAATCAGCCAGGGCCTTGTTGAGCGACATGTTAGCACTGGAGTTACTAGTAGCTTCTTGTTACTAGTAGTAAGGCACCTTGCTACTGGTCCTCGCTACTAGTAGCGATGCACCTTGTTCCTAGTAGCTTCCTGTTGCTAGGGCCCGCTGGAGTCAGGCTAAGCTGAAGACCTCCGGATCTTCCATCAGTTTGCCTGCACTCTTGGTGTCGGTGTCTGTCTACATCTCTTTGCCAGTTCTACACTCAAACTCGTTCCGTCGTTCCGTGGTCTTCTGAGAGAAAAAACTTGATACCACACATGACTTCCAGCTTCGAGACACGCCTAGACCCATCTCTTCAAAAAGTTGTCTGATGCCAGCAAGTTCTTCCTCCGTTTCAGCAGACTTGATTTCTGAGTTCGTCGAGGGCATTGGTTCCCCTCTACGGTCTGTGGTATGATTGTTTTGTCTTGTATGTATAAGTAATCCAATGAATAATCGGTCCTCCAGCGCTTTGCACTTTGCATCGAGCTCTTCTGCATTGGCCCTTGATTTTGCCAAGTCATTTGCAAGCGCCTGGTAACCCAGAGGCTTGCAACCAAGGACACCGCAAGTGAAATCTCTGAAAGCCTAACCTCCAACTGGTTCTTGTACTCTTGAGCTGAAACTGCAAGCTCGTCCTGCAATGAAGAACCATAGGTGCAACAAGACACTTATTAAAGACACGAATGCAGCAGCGTCTTCTTGCCTCCAAGACTGATTGTCTTTTGACAAACTCGTCCAGTCGCTTTGCCCGGACCTGCAACACAAAGAAACATCTCCTGGGTGCTGCAACAGGAGACAATCTAAGGACAGAAGAATATGATGCATTACATATTACAGTATCACAGTATCGCATATGTCTGTGAGTGTATGCAAATAACCTGACACGTTATCATTGGCTGACTGGCTTGTGGGTCCATTAAGAAGTGTCTTGTTGGCATGGTCGTCGGCCTCCTCTTCCTCTTCAAAAAGGCGATTTGCTGCTTTGAGCTCATCGAAATTCGGCACTTCGCCGCGGATTGTGTGACGCCAAACCTTCAGCTTTTTGTCCCCAATGGAGGTGGACCACACGATTTTGGTTTCAACTCGATCCACCGTGAGCAGGTTGGAGACATAAGGCTCGTGGGCAGGATGCTCAGCTGTTTTGAAGAAATCAGCTTGGGAAAAGACTTGGATGTTCGGGTGATGTCCGCATGTCCAAACATCATATCCCAAAGGAACAATGGCATAAGCACCTTTGTCGAAGCCCTCCGGCGCAATTTGGCGGACACACTCACGGACAGGGCCACCGATCGTCCACTCTCGGATATACCCATCAGATCCGGAGGACCATATAAAGGATCGAACAACCGCAAGCTTTAAAACAGATCCTCCATGCGCCTTGTCCACCGTCTCGTTACAGTTGCCTGTCGCTGTGCACCACAATCGGATGCTGCCATCATCAGAGCCTGACCATAGTGTAGGGCCAATGCGAATCAAACACCGTACACCGTTCTTGTGGCCGTACATCTGCAGGCCCTTGGAGATGGCTACCTTGAACTTCCCAATATCAACGATAAATGCATCCTTCAAATCCTTCAAATGTTCCGGTTTTGCCTCTTTGCTTCGCCACGTTTCAATCGTCCATTGTCGAATAGTAAAATCGTTACTTCCACTCCAAGCCCGCCTCCGGGGGATTGCACCCTTCTCGACCTCCGCTCCATCGAGAGCATCTCCAGAAGCCAGGCAAGTGACACCACCCGTGTGGCCACCAATCAATGACCCCTTAAATTCCTTCCGTTTGGTGTCAAAAAGCGAAATGCCCATCGCCTCCTGCCCCATCCACATCAAGTGCGGCTCCATGTGCAGCATGCTCCAAACAAATCGGTTCGTGGGAATTTCACATCTCACTTTCGTGGCATCGTCGCGTTCTCTCACCGTGACATTTCCGGCCCAGTCAACGGTCCAAACTTCCATTCCGATGCAAATCGCATTGCGTACAGCCAAGCCCATTTCAAGAGTTTGTACGCAAGACATTCCTTCCTCTTCCACTCGAGCCTTGGCTTTAGGGGCTGGCCTTGCAGTTTGTTCCTTTGGTTGGGAACTCACCGCAGGTGGTGAACTTCCAGGTCGTACCACGGGCTTCGGTTGAAGAGGAACTTCTTTTTTCGGCTTCGCCTTGGGCCTCTTCTCGGTCTTTTCTTTATCTTTCTTTTTGCCCTTTTTACCTTTTTTGCTTTTGGTTGGCTCAGGTTCTGGAACCTCTGTGACCGCATCCGCTGGGGCAGTTGTGACCGCGGCTTCTTGGTCAGTCTTGTCCGGCCTTGACTCCGGTTCTGCCGCATCTTCAGAAGGCTCGAGACGTAGGGTTCCTTCAAGAGCGGAAGCATCTACTGAAGCATCTGCTGGAGCATCTGCTGAAGGATCCGCTCGCTCCTCTTTCTCAGCTGAAGCCATTGGAGCTGCTGGAGCTGCTGAAGATGCTGAGACTGCTGGTGCACGGCCTGATGCTTTTCCCACTTTGTCAACATCTGATTCCACGTCGTCCGCTTCTTCATCTTCGTCAGCTTCGTCCTCTTCATCTTCATCTTCGTCTTCATCATCTTCCGCTTCGTCTTCCTCCTGTTCTTCTTGGCTCACGTCGTCAGCTTCTTCTTCAACATCCTCATCTCCAGAATTCTCATTTTCATCAAGATCAGCTTCCTCTGTTGGAGGTGGCTCAACTTCACCAGTTGAGACCTTCCGTGTCAAGGTCCCCTCTAGCTCACTAGCTACCCTCGTCAACGTTGCAGTCAGCTCCAGACTCATGGGATCCGTTTGAGTTGCCTCAGGCTTTTCAGGCTTTTTTTTGATTTGCCCTCCGTCCAGCAAATATTCTTGCACGCGGCGGTGCTGGTGCCCGAGTTTCACGAGATTGAAGTTCTGCCTGCTTGTGCTTGAGTTCTTCCAAGCGTGAATTGTAGTCATCTCGCAATGTCGAAAAATAGCCGACCATTTGCTCAAGGACATGAGTGCGCATCCCTAAGTCATCCTGTGATGTTGCCTCAGGCTCTGCATCCCCAAAAGACTGCCGAATCTGACACTCCTGCTGGACCTGTGCAAGGGCTGCTGCAAGCTTCCTGGTTCCCAGAAGTCCCCGGATTTCGTTGATCTCTTGCTCGAATTCAGCTCGGTCAATCTGCTGATTACTATTGAGATCTATCCGGTTGAATGCATCATCTGGATCTGCAGTGTAGTCCTCTGACAGCTGGGCCAAGTGCTTTGCTGTTCTCCTGAACTCCTGCAGCCCAATTGTCTCTTGACCGTTTGCCAAGATTTCAAACACCTGACTCGTGAGCTCAGCGACATTGGTGGCGTCTAGAGAACCACTGCCAGCGAGGCTTCTTGGAGTTGGCTGTACGGACATGATCCGGCAAAAGTCTAAAGGAGAAACACATCAAAACGCTTGCAGGGCTATAAGATACCTGTATTCCACTATGGAGTGTCCTTGTGCGGCGTGCATATGCCGCATGTATCATCTTTTGTGTTTGCGGAATCTGTTTCAGTGGGTCTCAGTCTGTGCTGCAAGGCACTGTACTGTGTTTGCTGTTGATTCTGTCAGGAAGGCTGTTGAACCCAAGTGTCGAACAATTCTGCACGTTTTGCCTTGTGCACGTGCAATGCATCTACATTGTACGGCACTAGATTCTCTGTGGATAAACACTGTTTTGCAACTCAAGAGCAACAGGTTCGATATACACATGTTCGACGGACTGATTCTCTGGTTCATTGGCATGGCATCAACGAAACTGTGAATCTATACTTGGCCAAGAATCAGAAGCCTCAGAATGCTGCATTTGCAGCCAAATTCATTTACAAGCCCAGCGAGCGTTTTCACGCAAGGCTTTTGAAGCAGTTGGCAAGAACTCTGGCCTTTTTCGCCACGGTTCATACCAACCCCAACAAGCGGATGCCGTTCAAATAGAATAACTTCTTCTCTTGCTTGGTTTTACAATGGAGCATTTGACTCCGCTTTCGACGACAAACACGCGGCACAGGCGCCACTGGATGAACTGCCCTTTGCACTCATGCCGGATCAGAAGAGCTGGGCCTTAGTTGTCAATCCAGTCAATACCAACTGCCCGGCCACACCATGCATGGGCAGTTTGGCCGGGCTCAGGTTGCGGCGCCGGTGGCGCAGCTGCTTTCCAGCTGCGCTTGGTGGTCAACTTCTTTCTGCCTGGGTTGTTGACCTCAGGCAATATAGAAAACGAGAATTCTATGAAGCAAAGAGGACGAATAGCGTAACAGTAGCAGAAGTAACTTGAAGTAACTGAAGTAACTGATCAATCAGTCACTTGACAGCCTCTTCCAGGACAGCAGCGGCAGCTGCTCGATTTTGATCAAGAAATTGCCTCATCCTTGGGTGCAGCAGCCATCGATTCAGCTAAAGGAGCGGGAAAAAACAAACTCAAATTGGGAAACCTCTAGGTTTCACGCTCGTCCAATTCTGGCCAGATTCTGAAAACTGAACCTTACAAATTACAAAGGCAAGCTTGCTGAATGGATTCTGCTCATGAGGCCACGGTGAACAAAACTTCAACAGGGGCTTCGACTGGTGAAAGGGATGATGACAAAGTCAATGAAACCCAACAAGGACCTCGGTCAGCCATAGAGGGCCATAAGCGGGAGCTGCGTTCAAGATACTCAAACGCCACACCGAACATGGCAAAGTCAACCTCAACAGCTGGGCTCTGAGCTTTGCAGCCGCAGCCGGGTCTCTGAGCCCAGACATGAAGGAGGTGACCTAAAGAAAACTTCAAGGTCAAGAGGCCTTTCTTTTTTAGCCCGCTTACTAGTAGCGATGTACTTGTTACTAGTAGTAATCACTTCTTCAAGGTCAAACAAAGCTTTTCTTGCTCTGTGATCCAATGCGATCAATTGAGCTCCAAAAGGAACGCAACATCAAAGAACCAAGTGAACCAAGTTGGAGCCTTGGACCAACAAGGCCATCATTGGCACATCGGTTGAGTGTCATGCGGGCAATCCAAGTTCTGCTTCCTTCTCGGCCTGGCTGAAAGCTCCGAACCAATTCTTGGCAAGATGGCTTTGGACCGCTCAAGGCTCTGTGATGCATCTGCTTGCGCACATCACAACTCTTCCAGCCTGCAATGTGAACTCCTCGTTCAAGCAGGCACACCACCTGGCTACGCACGTAAAGGGGTCTCATCTCCATCTCACCCCCTTACGTGACAATTTCCAAGCACAGCATGAAATGAAAAATAACTGAGGATCAGCCCGCCATTTGCACACAAAAGAAACGCACACTATCACTAAGCCGCAGACTTTTGAGATGGTGCAGGGGGCATAAATGGATTGCTGATATCTGCCTTGGACTGCAGCACTTGCACCACCGCATCGATCCAATAGGACGGAATGTTTTGGGTCCCTGCAGCATGAAGGACCACCTCAACCAGGAACTGGCTTTGCGATTCAGAAGGTTCGCCCCTCAGTTCGCTTCTGGCCGAGGTGCGTGGAGCCAAGACAAAGGGGTCACAGTATTCCAAGCCCAAAGAAAGCTCTCACTCTGAACAGCAAAGTTCTTCCTTCCAAGAATACTGAGAAGTCTTTGCAAACAGCTTCAGCATGCCAGCAGCAGTGGTGGAAAAAAGGCTCAAGAGTCTTGGCGAGGTCCAGACACTTCGAACTCCTTCAATATGGTTACCTTGGAACGGCAATCACGGTTTCAGGTTTCAGGAACATGAGGCTACCTCGAAGCTCAGGATCTCGCATGCTGACCGTGGTGTTTCATGTCAGTGGCAAGGATGCCTCTCACGGTAACGTAAGTTGCACGGCTTCTTCAAAATGCGTTTGCAATCTCCACCTGCAATCATTCTTTTGCGAATGAGGTTGTAGTTCGCCTGATCCAGGTCCTCGGTTCAGATGAATGGGTACTCGGCCGAGCCGACTTGTTTGGGAGAAGCAACCGAAGTGATGGAAACCTCTTGGGTCCACAGTAACCTTTTTCGGATGCCTATAAATTGGTTTCAAACGTGCTTGGAAAAAGAAAATGCATTGGTCGCCAAAGCCCAGTCGGTGTCGTCGGTCTTGGCTCCAAACCTGGAAAAAGTTGCATTCGTCCTTGCTGAGGGCGATTTCAAAAGTCCTCCGCTCAGAATTCTGAGCAAAAATGCGAGTCCACATACCACATAAACAAACTGCCAGTTTCTAGACGACCGCTTTCAAAGTCCGGCAGAATTTTGAGAAACGAGTTCTGCCAAACCGAATCTTTGCGGCAATCGCTGCTCACGGCTAAGGAGGGCCGTGGTACCTTTTGGTGCAATTCATAAGCCACTACGTTATCCACATACCAACTCCTGTATCTGATGCTCCCTTAGATCTTACCCCATGAAAGCGCAAACCAAGCTTGATAGCCTGGATGAAACACAAAGTCTCGGATCAGTCAGCCTTGCACAGTGGTGATTCTCCAGGGGCGAAGAGTCATTGTAGCGAAGCCTTTCAAACAAGACACAAAACCACCACAACTACTACAAACATCAGCTCCAAGTGAAGCAATTCATTTGCAGCTGTAGCTTGGCACTGAAGAAAATGTCATAGCTCAGGAGCAAACGCAAGCTCACTACGGGTCATTATCTCGAAAGCATTATTGTACCTGGTGCTTTTGTGCCACACGTCCGGTACATGGCACATGAGCTTAATCATTTTGCAGCGGGTGCCATCCACACAGGGTTCTGGTTGGCTCAAGCCCAACGTTTGCTCAACATACTGTCTCAAGCTTAGGGTGCCCTCGATGATCAACATCATGACAAAGAGCTGCCATCTCAGCCAAAGCTCTGCTGCTCGAGCTCTGCTTGTTTGCAATCGTTTCCAAAAATGTTTGCATGAAGGCTTCTGTGCTTCCAGGGATGTGACAATCATAGCAAACATCTCCGCGTGGCCCAAGTGCTCCCATAAGCGTGAAACCTGCAACAGGCTTTGCGTGCTAGGGCATGCATCCTCCATGGATCACATGGCGTTCACCCACTTCCAGCAACCGAATTGCTTGCACCTGGATCATCTTGAAGGTATAGTGAAGCGTAGACATACCATGGTGGAAGTTATGGAACCTGACCCGTCTGACTGTCTCCCGACTCGGTGGCCTTTACTGCCTCTATTCAGCTTGTTTTGCCAATCAGGCAGGAAGTCGACGACCCTCAGCCTGAAACACTGATGAAAGTTATATAAGCATCAGGCGGAATTGCCCTGTAGCTGGCCTTGACGGCCTGAGGAATCTACACTTTATCGCAAAGCTGCAGTAGACACTGGATTAGAAAGCCTTACGGCCTTGCCTGAAAATAATGAAGAAGAACACCTTAGACTGTCACAGGCATCCTTGCAAAAAAAACGACTTGCACATACCTTGAGCACTCCACCTGGTGCAATCGTGACATTGTCAAAAACATGAAGCCTCGAGTTGCAGAAGCTGAACTGGTGCCAAGAGGGGTTGCTTTGTGGTAAGGTTCACCAAGTCTAAGGAAAGTTCTGGTGAAGTGAATTGATCAGCAGGGTAATCTCATCTTGAGGAGTAAAGGCCTCATGTGCAGGTCAGACATGTTCGGTTTAACTGTGAAGTAAAGGATTTTTGCAGGCAAAGGCACCCAGTAGTCAATGTCCCATGCAGTGACATCTGCATAGGGAGCAGGGGTTAGATTCCTGCCAACGCATCAAAAGCGTCCCCACATTGACTAAGGACCTATACATATATATATATACTGCAAATCTCCTGACGCTCTCTGCATCTGCATCAGACAGCACCTCATTCTTTAATAGAATAGAAGCTTTGTGGCAGGGTTTGGCAAGGTCCACCCTTTGTGCAAGTGTCTGTTCGACAAAACTCGATACCAAGCCGGCCAAGCGGCAAGTTGAAGGCCCTTCGACCCGTGAAAGTTCAAAGCCTAAGGCCACAGGCTGAGATGCAGTGGCAGAGAGGACGCTCATGTGGGCAAAGAGGACGCTCATTGTGCAAGATC